AATGCTTCTATCAGGCTGCAGGAGGCTGCATCCCATAGCGAGACACCGAGTGAATATTATGAAAAAGAACTATAAATTTCTGGGAATTTGCATCAACCGGATTAAACGGTTTTCTGAATAATGAAACCCACAGATTTCTTTGTCAGCACCAAAATTAAATCAGTTTATTTTTTCTTAAAGAAAGTGATTGAAGGTAAACACAACATAATGCAGGTCACTCCTAATCCTCCCATGTTTAAGGACAACTCTTTAGCCATTTCTCTAAATGACGTTATACTTTTATCTGTGGGAAAAATTCAAGACAACAGAAACAAAGCATCGAGAATTCTTTCAGTGCAGTTTGCATGACGTTCTGCTGTTTGTCACAGAAAGACCTGAAGATCGTTCACCATGCCGACACCACTTTGGCAAGTTTCTGTGCCTGGCAGAAAAACTTAAACCCCCAAAGTGACACGCACCCAGCTCACCACGATGTTGCTGTGCTGATCACCAGGTCGGTGAGACACGGCTCTGTGCCAGCTCAGTAATAACGCATTCCGTAATGCAAATGAACAACACTGCGAAAGCCCTGCTTTTGTGGAAATGTGGCATGTATATGCACAATTTGGTTTTTGTTTATTTCTTTTTTAACCTCCCACAGGAAGGACATCTGCGCAGGAATGAATCAGCCTTGTGAGACTCTGGGTCTGTCTCATCTGTCTGGAATGTGTCAGCCTCACCGCAGCTGCAACATCAATGAGGATTCAGGACTACCTGTCGCCTTCACTGTCGCTCATGAAATGGGCCATAGGTGCGTCTCTGTGTTTCCATTTAATTTTATGAATAATGTATCACGGCGATAACAACAAAGGGCAGCCTGAAAAAAAAAAAGCATTAGTTTTTCCCGATCAGTTACTGTAAGGAAAACACCACTGGCACATCTGATGTTTGTGAATTGGCTTTTTGGAAATGATAACTTTGTATTAAGTGATAAGACTTAAAGTGATGGATATCTTTTAAGTCTCATTTAACAATATAAAAACATGGATAAAGGTGTTGTATTTGTTTGAAACTTCTTCTTAAAGTGTCACATAGAGACATATTGTCTTTTGTGTTTGCCTATGTGTCACTTGAATTATTATTATTTATAGTTAATTTATTAGTATTATTAAAGTAACACATAGACAAGCCTATTCTGGTTAACACTGTGGGGTACAACCTGGACAAGTTGCCGGTCCATCACAGGGCCTATGATAATATTAAAATGATTACATTGATAAGAGTGATTAAATTTAAATTTTGCATGGATGTAGACTCAGCGCTTGTTTCTGGTATTGCTAACCACCCTTAATGACAAACAGGAAGGTGGGTTCACATTGTCACATTGTCCAGTGTTATGAAGCAATTTCACCAAAAGCCCCAACTTTGTTCAGGTCAGCGGGAAAACCTACACCTCTGATGTAGAGGGCTAAATCCACCACATACACAACATAACAGATATTTATGCTAACTTGTGTTTAAATGCAGTTTTGGAATCCATCACGATGGCCAGGGGAATGACTGTGAGCTGCAGGGGAGGCACCCATTCATCATGTCCAGACAGCTGATGTACGACAGCTCGCCCCTCACTTGGTCTCCCTGCTCCAAAGAATACATCACACGCTTCCTGGAGTAAGGCTGGATCTGAAATCAGTAATCATGAAACGAGAACAGCATTCAGTTTGTTTTTAGTTATTTTTCTTTTTGCGAGGGCCACGTGCATTCCGCGTGCTTTGAATGAATTTCCCGTTGTGTGAAATCGTTGGGCAAAATACACTGTAGGCTGCATTCTGAGCAACATGGATGCAGGCAGTGCTGAATGTGTTGGTTCATGTCTCAGATGGGTGTAGAAAGAGATTAACAAAACAACCAAAAGCTGTGGTATGTGTTGGTGGAACAGGGAGGGAAAAAATGTGTGTGTGCAACAAAGCATGGGAATCTTTTTAAGACAGAAACAAAAGGCAGAACGTCAAATATGTTTAGGTTCCATCAAACCTAAAAAAAAATCGACCCAATGACAAACAAGCAAAAGGAGCAAACAATAAGAAATAGTGCGATGGCGCCTAAGAGGCCATCGGAGCGCAAACAAATGGCTCTGTTTGTTTGACTCTTGCCATCTTTTGTTGAAAAGTGTTTCAATGATAGATTTAAAAATTCCTCTGTGACAACAACAGCTTCACCAGCTGCTGCAAAGTCAGAGGTCAGAGCTGATGTTTGTTGAACTCTGACTTCTTAATCAATGGTTTTTCAGCTAAAGGTTTTTAGTTTTTAGTTTTTTTATGTGCATTTCTGAGAGTGTTGTCAGTCCCTCTAAAACTAAAATGTATATATATATATATTGCCATCCATGAGTAAAAAAAGAATCCAATTAAAATGTTAAGGGGGAATCTTTACTTTTATCTCTACACTGAATAAGTGTAGAAAGTGTAGCTGTTACAAATTTATCATAATATATTTTATCGCACTATAACAAAATCTCTGAAGACTATTCAATTTAATTAAGGTCATCAGAATTTTAAATGAGATCTTAAAGTAGAACATGTGGTTCTGCAGATGTTAGAGTGGAGCAGATTTAGTTTAACATCAAATGTTTAATACCATACAGGAATTTATATTGAATCTACTTCTCTGTCAGGGTTAATTATGCTGATATCAGCAGTATCTTTTCCTCTACAGTCCCCAAACAAATCAGCATTGTTTATCACCCTGCACCGAGCGCTCAGCAGATGATTTGGTGACATCTCCTCTATGTGAAGTGTACTAAAGCACTTGTTTTTAAGGTGCCATTTCTCATTTTTGAACCCCTTATGTGTCTTTTCTTGCTGCCTTTAATGTGGTACTTTATCCAGCACACTCCGGTAGCTGGATTTTGTTACAGGTGCGGGGAGTATCTAGATGGACAGTGGTTTCTCCTAAGATACCTGCCATTTGTCAGATTGATCCGTTCCTTTCACTGCTGTTTTTCAGCCCTCTCCCTCCCGCAGTCTTACTTCTCATTTTATCCGTTTTAGTCGTGGCTGGGGGTTCTGTTTAGACGACCGTCCTTCTAAGAGAGACCTTACCACCCCGCTGGCTCGCCTGGGTGTCCGCTACACCACCCACCACCAGTGCCAGCTCCAGTATGGGCCAAATGCTACCTTTTGCCCCGAGGTTGATGTGAGTATTGTGTATCTGAGGCGTTAACATAATCCACGCTGTAAAACAGCAGCCGCAGCTCATTGTTTCTGGATTACGTGTTCCTCTCAGAACGTTTGCCAGATTCTCTGGTGTTCAGTGAACGGCTCCTGTCGCTCCAAACTGGACTCTCCAATAGATGGCACTCGCTGTGGACCAGAGAAGGTAAGCGATGCCGGCCTCTTTGTCCTATCTAACATTTGTTTTCCTGGAAGTGGTCTTGTCAGTAATATGAATACGAATGGAATGGAATGTCGTAAAGGGTTGTCTCACCTTTTTTTTAATTTTTTTTTTTATTCAGTGGTGTATCTCTGGAGAATGTGTAATCGTGGGTAAACTTCCTGAGACGGTGAATGGAGCCTGGGGACAGTGGAGTACATGGTCTTACTGTTCCAGGACCTGTGGAACTGGAGTTCAGTCAGCAGAGAGGGAATGCAACAATCCTAAGTGAGAACTGACTCTAAATCTACCTCGTGCCTTTAAAAAAAATTAAAAAAACAATATCCCCCATTGCAATCTTTGATTGAAAAGATGAATAGATGGGAAAAAAAGTTGAAAATACACAGCTATGTTCCTATGGCAGATGTCAAAATGAAACCCTGTCCTCCACAGACCAGAGTTTGGGGGCAAATATTGCACTGGGGAAAGGAAGCGTTATCGAACCTGTAACACAAAACCTTGTGAGAGTGACAGACCAACCTTCAGAGAGATGCTGTGCAGTGAGTTTGACACGGTGCCCTACCACAATGAGCTCTACCAGTGGATTCCTGTAGCTAACCCATGTAAGTGGTAAAAGATTTATTCTTTAAAACACAGCAAAAAAATTACCGAAAGACATTTGAGTATTTCGCTCTTCTAAAGAGAATCAAAAGATGAAGTTGTATATGTTAAACAACAGGGGGCAGCATTTACCCTTCAGTCATGCAGCGTTTCAAACGGGCTGTTGTGTTTTTGTCAGTTTGTGTATTCAAATCACTGTTATTATAGTCAACAACTAGGCATACAAAATATGTGTAATTTTGATGGTATCATCAGATGATTTTCCCTTGTTACTTGTATAAAAACATGCAGAAAAGAAAGTATGATGATCCCATTTGAAGGCAATTCAGCCCGACCAAAGCATATTTTACCCTTACTCTCTTAACATTTCATTATAATGAAAATGCAGTCTTCTCTTTCCACCGTCTCATAATCATCTTTAGTTAACCCCTGTGAACTCAACTGCCGACCGGTCGGTGAGCATTTTTCTGAGAAGATGTTCGACACTGTGACCGACGGAACGCCGTGCTTCATGAACAACAACTCCAGAAACATCTGTGTTAACGGAGTATGCAAGGTAGTGTGGCTGGGTAAGAGACTGATAGAGGCTGGGGGGAGTTATAGTGGAGCAGGTTGACATTCTGCGGATTCTCCATGTAAACTTCCACTGTGCTGTAATCAGGGAGATTTGTCATATTTGGATGTGTTTGTGTGTGTTTTCTCTGCAGGAGGTGGGCTGTGACTATGGCATTGACTCAAATGCAGTGGAGGATCGCTGTGGAGTCTGCCTGGGGGACGGCACAAGCTGCGAGACAGTTTATAAGTCGTTTGATCAAGGAGAGGGTTTTGGTAAGCGTAACACCAGCTATTCAAAGTCGATTATGCAAAAATGAGAATTCCCGTAGTCACAAAAACGTAGTAACACAAAACAGACAAACTCGTCATGCGTAAAAGCTTTAATGTTCTCATCAAAGGAGTGTTAAAAAGCACATAATTTAAATGTATTCCTACACGCGGAAAGTCATTTCAGGACAGTTTAATAGCATTACACCATTGTTTCTTTGTTGTCATGGCAGCCACCTCATCCACACGATGCAGCTGTTTGTCCTGCTGTATTTGGCTTATGTGTGCGAGCATCTGTGTGCGCAGGCCCATGTTCGCTGAAAGATACACGTCTTTGGCTGATTTTACTGCACTTGGAAGAGTATAACTCAAGCGCTAAATCAATCCTGTGAAGACAGATTCATAGTGAAAGAGGCCCTAAAACAATAAAGTCACCCCTCGTTCTCTCCTTTCTCCCATCGCTCTCTTTCCGCGTGTGTGTTTACCTTGCATTGCATCTTTCCAGATAACCAACCCAGATGTGTAGGACTTCAAACGAGTTAGACCAAGGGCAAAACCTCCCCCTTCTTTCACAAACAGAAACGCACACACGCACACACACACACCTTCCCACAAACATCATTAAACTCCAGAGACTCACTCATTGCCGCGTTCGTTCCACCCACCCAGCCGATCCCCACACAATAAAAACCAGAGACAGGGCAGTGCTCCCCAATGCCAAACAAGCACACGTACAGTCACACACACACACACACACGCACACACACACACACACAAACATGCCAACCCCCACAGACTGAGCCCACCCTCTATTAAACTTCAGAGAGAAGTTGTCTGGTAATCTGGATGTGAGTGCGGCTGCAGCCATGGTGGGCCATCCATTACCTCTGTGTGACTCTGACCCCCCCCCCCACCACCACCTCTTCCAGGGTACGTGGACGTGGGTGTGATACCGAAGGGGGCGCGGGACATTGTGGTAAAGGAAGTAGAGGAGGCAGGTAACTTCCTGGCCCTGAGAGGTGTGGGGTCGGATGAGTACTTCCTCAACGGCAACTACATCATCCAGTGGAACGGGGAGTACGAGGCGGGGGGGACCACATTCTACTACGAGCGCAGAAGCAACATGGAGAATCTCACTGCTCCTGGGCCCACTGAGCACCCAGTCATGCTACAGGTAGAGCACCCTATTAACCATGAAAATGGAGAGCATGACTTTTCACATTAATGCTGATTAACTGATTTTGGGTTGAACGAGTAAGGGGGACATGTCACACATTTTTTATTAATGTAAATAAGTTCTCAATTCTTGTATCAAAAGTACAAAAACCCACTCCCCCTAAAAGTTATTTGCATTTAGTTGTTGCATGTGGTTTTTAGTTAATTTTTCAGGAGAGGAATCCTGGAATTAAGTACGAGTACACCGTCAAGAAGACCAAAAAGTCAGAAAATGAGGTCACTGAATCTATTTACAGCTGGAGACACGGAGCCTGGACACATTGCAGCACCACCTGTGGCCTAGGTTTGGTTTGTGTTTCACCTCAACAAATGAGCCACTTATTTTTCAGTCAAGATCTGTGTCCTGAGGAACCATGATGTTTGTCCTGAATTTAACTTTCCGGTCTTAGGTGAGCAACACCAGCCTATACGATGTTTTGAGGTGGACGTGGGCGTAGTCGACGAGTCCCAATGTGACCCAGACACCCGACCAGAGGACAGACACAGAAAGTGCAAGAGTATGGAATGCCCGGCTAGGTGTGAACTCCTGGATGTTCTTTTAAAAAACAATTTAACTGTTTTTCTGCCACAAAAAATGCTGTCATGATTCTTGCAATCTAACTAAAGAGTTTTCTTTAAAAAAAAAGTATTTTAAAATAATTTTGGTTTCACTTCTAACCTTAAGGCAAATTAACAAATCAGAGCTGTTGTTACTGGTTAGTGGTTAGTCACATATCTGTGTTCAATGACATCTGTCCTATCTTCGAGAAACAAACTCAGTTTTATCTGCAGAAATCCACCTAAAATGATCCTCATCTGTGTTAATGAGTTGGTCATTCATTTTCCATGGCGTGTTTCTTCTTTTCCTCCCCCTTGTCGCCCCTTGTTCTCAGGTGGTGGGTTGGCGGCTGGCAGCAGTGTAATTCCACCTGTGGCTCAGACGGGGTCAGAAAACGAACCGTCCTCTGTGTACGCACGGTTTCGGGAGAGGAAAGAGTGCTCCACCCCGTGGAATGCAAGCACCTCCTTAAGCCAAAGCCCGCGGTGCCATGCAACAGGGATGTGCCGTGTGGAAAGGAATGGGCCGTTGGTGACTGGGAAGAGGTTGGCATTTTTTTTCCGCCGGATATTTGGTGTCTGACGCGTCTCGGGTTTTCATAGCCTGTGCGTCCTGTTGACTTCTTGTGTTCCGTTGTCCTGACAGTGCTCCGCTACCTGTGGAGGAGGCATCCGCTCACGCAGTATCACTTGTGCGCTGGCATCCCCACAAAGCTGCGACCCCACCACCAAACCCAGGTCCAGATCGCTCTGCGCCCTGCAGAACTGCCCCAACTCAAGTCTCCGGAGACAGCCTGGGCTGCCCCCCCCATACCGCCGTATTTACCCGCCTAAGACCAGCCCCACTAAGTACCACGGCCCACCCACATGGGCTCCCACAGCTGAACCTACAACAACCACCAAAGAACCTACAACTGCTTTAATTTCTTCTACCACGTCCCTCTCAACTCATAATACAGCAGTCACAGAAATTACAGATAAAAATGAATACGAGTTTAGTGCTATGGGGAGGAAGAACAAGAATGGGAGGAAAAAAGTTTCCCCTGAACTGTCAAATTCTACTAAAAAGGGAGCTTTTGTTGTAAAAACGGAAAATGTCGAAGACAAGGACGAAGAAGAGGAGGGAAGTACTCCAAATGGGGTGATGTTCACTCGGGGATACGATTATGATTTTGAAGACGGGTTAACAGAAAGGGAGAAGATCATCGACCTTGATGCTTTTACTACAGCGTCACCACTTAAAAGAGCTCCTACAAAGACACAAACACTACAGACGGGTTTGTTTAGTGTGCACATGACCACAACTCCATCCGCCTTGCCGCTCACCAGCACCGAGACCTGGTCGAAGACCACTCGCTATGTAAAGAACCAGCACGCCACCTCATACATCAGCCCGTACACGCAGCGCATCTCACTGACCACTCCTGCCTTCAGGGACCGCCGGGTGTCTCCCAAATCTGACTGGCACACAAAAAAAACTCCCTCCACCACTGTCACCTCCCCCCAGACCACAGTGACGATCGTCAAACCAAAGAAGCCTGCAGTGACGGCCAAGAGGAAGAGTTCCTCGTCCCGCGCTAAGAAGCCCTCCTCCAAATCCAGCGCGAGTCGCTCTAAGAGCCAGAACCACCAACCGAGAAGCCCCACAAGCAGCTCCATCAGTGAGCGAGGCGACCTGACGGCGAGAGAGACCGTCAGCATGGATATATTCTGGGTTGTAGGAAACTGGAGCGAGGTTTGTGAACTTGTTTTATTCTGCAGAAAAATGTGGATGTGCCGAAAATGTCAGTACTTTAAATGGCACTTTGAGGCTTGGTCTATCCTGCATAGTTATCCTAACTACTATTAAGCAACAGCTGGACAGGTCAAGGTTGGCTTCGAAATGGTCAGATTTAGTACAATTTCATAAACTGCTTTGATAAACTGTCACAATCGCATTGGGGTGGCTCGTGGCCTCCTCTCCTGGCAGAATCCACGTCAGTATGTGGCACTTTGGGATGAGTTGGCAGTCCGTTGTGTCACTTTAGTTCTTTTGCCGTCCAGGTATCCACAAATCAAAGCTGAATCTGAATCAGGAATGACTCCCATTTTTCGCAGTGTTCAACATCCTGTGGAACTGGAGCCGTGTGGAGGAGAGTCGTGTGCAGTACGGGGAAAGATGAGGACTGTTCCAGCACCAAGAGACCTGAGCCTGCGCGGACCTGCCACCTGCAGCCATGTGCCAGCTGGCAGACGGGCAGCTGGAGCAAGGCGAGTAACCTTAGATTTCCATCAGTCATTAAATCTGATCACTACACTTATAACTTGTTAATTACACTTAATACTTAATCACAATTAACATTATTGTCTCTAACTTTACCAGATAAAGAAATGGATCTAACTCATCGTATGTGCTTTGGGTGTGTATGGCGATGTAATTTTCTCCACAGTGTCCAGAGAGCTGTGCATCGGTGAGAAGAAGGTATCGTGACGTCCAGTGCATCGATTCTCAAAGCAAACGTCCCCTCAGACCTTTTCACTGTCAAGCTGCGTCCAGCAGACCTCTCAGCACGTTGGTTTGCCCCCCCAAGCACTGTACGAGCTGGAGCGTATCACCCTGGGGCCCGGTGAGAGCATTTCACATTCAAATAGCAATACATTCATTTCTTTTCTTGTTATTTGTTAAGGTTTCATGACATCTGTAACATTTCCATGATCAGCTTTGGAGTTGGGGGCCATTGATTTTGAATTGCCAAAAAAGATCTCTGTTGGATGAGCTGCAGAGTCTTAAAATGTTCTAATAGTAGATGTAAAGTAAATGGTTGGGGCAGGATTTGTGTATAATTTGCATAAATGAGGGCTGAAAATCAGTGAAATCCTTTATTATTGTAATGATTATTTACTAAAACCTTCATAATAACTGTTCTGTCACAAGCTGTGGTCCTCACTCATTTTATTGAAAATAATGCTATATCTTTTAGATTTTCTTCATTGTTGTCCAGTAAATGCAAACGTTGGATAAGGGCTTTTTTTGCAGGCAGATCATTTCAAGTCCTTGTGTTTTCTCAGTGCTCTGGCAGCTGTGGAGAAGGCCTCAGAGAGCGGACGGTGTCCTGCCCTGAACCTCATCGCTGTAGCAACACATTACGGCCGAACAGCACGGAACTGTGCAGCTTACCACAATGTGCCCACTGGAAGACTGACAGCTGGGAGGAGGTTAGTTCTATATGCCCATAAGAAGAACTTCTGATTATTTTCAGCACTTTTACCGAGCTGTCGCTCTTATTTGTAGTGCTCTGTGAGCTGTGGTGGGGGCCTCCAACAACGTGCCGTAAACTGTGTGAGCGGGCAGAATTCGGCTGAGATGCCGAACAGCCTCTGTGAGAAGGTTTCCAAACCAGAAACACTCAGGAAGTGCAATACGCAGGAATGCAAGACAAACTCAGGTCTGTATGGAAATTTTTATTTTAATTTTTTTGTATTACTTTATCTTACTAGCAGTGTAAAAGTTCTCCAAACCCACAGTTGTCTACAGATTATTTTATTTTATCAATTGTGTGGTTTGCTTGATGAATTTTGGAATCTTCTGATCTGAACTATTTTCAAGATGACAAGTTTGAGATGACTGGCAAATATCAAGCAGCGGAAGAATCAGTCGAATTATTTTTTATTTAATGTGACTTTGCGTTTCTTTTTATCCTTTTGCAGTTTGCAGGAAAAACACGATGTCGTCCCGCTTCTGTGACAAGCTGAAACTGTTGGGCCGCTGCTCTCTCAAGTCAGTCCAAAGACAGTGTTGTGTCTCTTGTGGGGCGTAAGCAGGACTGGACAAATTCTGAATGCACAGCTTACTGTATCCTCATGAAATACTGTGTAAGGCCGAGTACAGACTGACACGACCATTTCTACAAGCACAACTTTATCAGTAAAAACATAAATGGCTAAGGCTGAGCCTAGAAATTTTTTTGTTTGTTTATTTAGTTCTAAGTTTATATTTAAACATTTGCAAAATGAGCAAAAAAAACAAGCCAAAGCCCTGACAGTAATGCTAGAGACCATTTTTTGAGCTAACAAGGGACTCAAAATATTTCATCTAAAAACAATTGACTTTTTGATTTTTTTAAATCCAAATATTGAATTTTTTTTTTATAAATAGCTCATTTACAAAAACCACGGTAGCTCATTTAAGCATACCCTCTATTTTCCTTATTTTCTTTTTTTTTTTTACAAAATGCTTTTCTACAAAATACTTTTTTTTTATGAATGTCACTTCATGGTTAAATGTGTTTAATGACTTCATAAAGGTGCTGTATTTAGAGTTGGTGCTGACGATTCACAACTACACTGTCACATTACCAGTCACTATTTTTACTTTTTTGCATGTGATGGGTAAAACAGAATGTAAATATAGATTTTCTGTGACCTCTTCAAATTGTCAAAAGGGCTGATCATCTTAATTTTTACGTACTTTAAACTTGGCTTTTTGTTGCTTTGCGTGTGATTTTGTTCTCAGAGCTGGCACTGTGTGTTTACAGAAATCAACTTTTGAATTTGAACTGTTCTGCTTTTGAGCCTGTGGTGCTCCTCCTCCGGTGTGAGATTTACTAACAAGAAAGAGGTGTTGCAGGTCATCCCTCTCATTTCTCGCTAAAGATGACCTATGTGATGTTGCACATGCATTATCCAATCCATTTTTCTCATCCCATTAGCCTGGTTTGTACATCCTTGATTCCACTCTTTCACTTCCCTTTAGGTACCTTAACCCCTTTTTTCCCCTGGGATTTGATTAAATATAGGGTGAGGTGTTAAAATGCAACAAACGCCAAAACACTCCAAAAGATAGACTTGTATGTCTTTTCCTATACTGTTACTCCTCAGACATATATCCTCTCTCCTCACTTCTCTGCTCTTCGTACGTTTTTCAGGAACCGACTCATTTTCTGAGCTAGATCTACAGGTACAGGCAGGAACACTGTAGGAACAAGGAAGTACAAAAGAGGACATGAGACAAGCCTATTATCATTCACAGGGTATTCATCTTAGCTGATTTGTTCCTTGCATGTCCTCATCAATAAATAAGATGATAATGATGTTTCTTGTAAATGAAATAAAGTTGTTTGTTTCATATTCTTAATGTCTTGATTTTTTGGGTAAAATGTCTTATGATTGTGTGATTAGGATGCATGATCTGTCCCTCCTGCCATGATCAGAAGGTCAGGAGCGTCCTGATGTTACATTAAAGTGACGTCGCTCAAATTATTCTATAGCTTAAGTTCTTTACATGGAGGTCTCCTGCTTTCTTGTGTGGGCAAGGTCATTGTTTGCCCATGAGTGACCTATGCTGTTGGACGTGTAACACCTGAATCAGCAGCTCTGTTTCAGGGATCAAGTTTAGCTGGCCCAGATTTCCAGAGCTCCTTTGCACCATATAACTTGACACGAACTGACCTCTTCCTGCTACGCACACCCCGAGTCTGTCATTCAAGCCAGAGACCAGGGGTTAGTCAGCAGTAATGGAAGGAGTAACACAATGCTGGGTCAACGTGGAGATTACTGTCCTAAAACAGTGTGTGTTTGTGCACAGTGTATCAGTGGGTTCTTGTGATGAGGCAAACATCTTCCAGTTGTACAGTATTACCTAACCGCGTCTTCCATTCTGTTATGCCATATGCATTGTATAGATAACAGTGTTACACAATGTTCAGGCTAGTGAGCTCAGAAGCCTTCATGTAAATAAAAGAAAAATATTTTAGGGTGCGTATTCAAGCAGCCCTTCACATTTCTCTATTTGAAAAGGTTATGTCACGGCTCAGATCTTATTTGAAAATTCCACACTCGTGCTTTTAGGATCTATTTGCATTTCCCTTCAGAATCCTGTAGTAATTTACTGAGAGAAATGAGAGGGCAAAAGGGGAAAAAAATAACAGGCAAACAAATGCTGAAGTTCAAATAAAATCCTAAAATTTTTCCCTTAAATAGTTCTCCTTTACCAGAACAGATTTCTATTTTGGTTACACTTAAGTGTGTGATGACTGGTGGATTTTCAAATAAAAACAAAATGGTCATAAAATTACTTTTTGTGCTTATGCAAAATGAGCTAACTGTTCTTATGCCAAACTTCTGTGGTTTTGGTCTCAGTATTCTAATTACTTCAGTTGCAGATTTGCCAGACCTTCTTTGCTTGTTGTTCAAAGCTTTAAACATTAAACGCACAGAGTACGTTATGTAATTTGTCTGTTATGCATGTTAATCTGCCAACTTTTTAAACTATTCATTTGGCTAAAAGTTGCAAGAATCTTATAGGTGATCTTTAGTTTTCCTTTGTTTGTCTGTTTGTTTTCTTGTCTCTTTTTCTTTTCTTTCTATTTAATTTGAATGTTTTCTGACAGGATTACATACCATGAAGAAAATAAGAAAATTAAAGTAAAGAAAGGGAGCACTGATGATTAAAATTAGTAAGAAAAATATTTTATATTTCTGTTTTAGCAGTTCAGCACATTTTTGTGAAATCTACTGCACGTTTACCTCACATTGCACTGAGTCTGACAGTTGATCTGGTGTCTGACCTGTAAATAAATTCCTCTGCCCTCCTGAAACCGACACTCAGCAGAAGAGGATGATGTAAGTGCCTGTTCAGGATGGGGAAGATAACCTGTCTAACATCAGTTGAGTACCGTAAAGTAGGAAACAGCAATCTCATCTTTTAGGTTACCAGACACTCCCCAATGCAACGGCCAAGAACACATAAATTATTTACCTTCGATGACCAAGTGAAAAGCGAGGCCTGCGGTGTGAGCTGAGCACAAGTTTGCATATTATTCCCTTCACACACAAATGACTACATTTAATCTGTGAAAAGATCAAATGTGAAAGAGAAAGTAACAATCATCTGGTTACTTACGTGTCAGATCCTAGTATAGACCCCGTGAAGGTCTTGAGGAAATAAGCATTAGTACACCATTTGTGCACCAACTGGTGGTTTTCTGGTAAACGGCGTCTGGTCTGGTGGCTCTCATCTGGACTCCATCAGGTTGCATGTCCCCAGGCATGCAGACTGGCATCTCTGTACCAGGCCTGCTTCTTTATTAAAGCCTCGGCCTCCTCTGACCCAGCGCACGCAGATCGGGCCCCAGGGAACACAGACAGAGACACACACATGGTTCCCATAGGTCAGTTTGGTTGTTTGTGTGTTGTGCGTTTGATTCCCTCATGGACCACATATGGATTTGAGCTTCAGCAACTCAGAGTGAGGTGATTTTCTTTGTAAAACATCTGCTTAATAATAGTGTACCAAAAGGGAGGGGCTTATGTACTCACAATGAGGCCGAATAAAATCAGAGACACATGACATGAATAAGGTGAATTTCCACAGTTCAGCTTGCGTGTGTGGTACAAAATAGAATAGATAGAGTAAGAGACTGCATTGTAATTTGTCCAGTAATACCATAAAGAAAGCAGAAATTAAGTTTGGTATATATTCACTTGCAACGCTACACATAAGCAAGAGTTCATATTTGACCCAATGCCAGCAATAAACCTTTTATAAAGAATTTTTTTTTACCTTTTCAGAAACAGTTGAACATACTTATTAAAAAGGTTTGGATCACAAACATTAAGCTGTTTGCTTTCATGATGACTTAGACTGGTGCATGATCATGTTAAATATAAAGTATGTCCAAGTAAGGTATTCCACACCTTTTAGTATGCAACATTTGAAGCTTAAATACAACAAAAACTTTTTTTTTGTTTTTTTTTTTTGGCTTTGTTTCATTTAAGCAGAATCTTGTGAAAATGAGCACATTATTATTCATACATAAAGCTTTAATGTGTTGCTGTTTAAATCATTATATCACCAAACAGTTTAAATATTGTGTTAGTTAAATGCTCACTCTGTTGGTGAGACTTCCTGTCAAACTGTGACTCCAAAAAAAAACTACCTCATAAACATAATGAAAATAGTTTACCATTTAAAAAAAAGGATTCTGATTTGAATATCAATATGATATCTCTAGTTTATATTTCGGAGTATATTCTGGTTATATAGCCCTATATTTTTCAAAGTTTCCAAACTTTATTTAGCTGCAAGCCTTCAATTATTGTTGTCTGAACAATAAATGTGATCACGTTATCAGTGCGCAACTGTTACACCGCAAATAAGGACAAAAACGTGAAAAAGCGTATCCTGGAACCTTTGAAGGAAAAAAGCTTATACACGCAAATTTCTGGTATTTGAGTCTGTCTGTGTTGTGATTCTGCTTTTGGTTTTGAGACGGGTGCAAGATCGCAGCTTGAGGGTGGGATCAGAGAGCTCAATTGTCCTGTCTATTGTCTCTCGTCTAGAACTTTGAAAAGCAATTCAAACGGATAGATCTATAAAGATGCACTAACTGTTAAAGCTGCAGAGCACCGAGGGAGATGAGTCCACCCTTAGTCCCTTCAAATCTCACTTATATTGCATCGCATGCAAACTGGCGTAGATGTGTTTACAAAAAGGTTGCGTATTTGCCTCAAAAGAAATCCTGCAGAGCCCATGTGACCAGCAACATCATTTCAAGCCTCCACCTTCCAGAAGCACCAGCAAAAGACATTACTGTTTTAGTGGAAAGGGTACTTATAAGATGAACCTCCACACTTTCGGACAGCTCTGTCCCTCAAACTGTGCAGTGTATGGGACATCTGCCTACGAAAGGAAGCTGTTCTTAGTTGTTTGGTTGAAACATGGAGCTTCAGGTTGACTGTTTTGTGTATATATAGCAAACAAAAAATGTGAAATTCTACTGTTAAAAAAAGGTATTGAAATGTAGTACTATACTTAGCTTTACAAACGTACATGGAATATAAAGTTTAAACAACAAGAAGTACTTTGTTTTACAAAAATGCACCCAGTACACAGGTTGAGGGTTGTAATATTAAGATGTAAATGGAATATTCAAAAATGTTTTTTCCACACGATCTTCCCAGTATCACTGATCAATAATAGGGATGCCCTCCCTTCCCAGCTTTGTGGTCTCTGCATATATTCAGGTTCTCACAGTGGGAAGGGACACTGCAAAGGAAGCGCTGATAAGATTGTTTTGTTTGCATCTCCAGATAAAAACCAAGTGAAGACCAGAGTTAAGAGCAGGCTTCTGCTCTGGCTATGGATCGTTGACAGACATTAAAGCAGGCCCTGGTAACTTGGACTTAAGGAAAGGAAAGCAGAGAACATGACATATGCTGACATTTAAGATGGAAAAGAAGGGGGGGGGAGTAGATAAGACTTGAAGTGGCAGGTTTTGTTTATCGCAGTGAACTGTTCAAAATGTCTCTGCGTGGTCCTTGATTGCACATTCACTGGAGATATTTGCTCACTGATGTTTAGGCTGGCAGGACTTAGTCCGTCCTGTGTCTGTCATGCCTTAAGGAGGAGGGGCTCTCATTGACTCTCTGCCACTAAGACACCTGAGTCAAAGAGGAAGGCAGAGGTCTGGTGAGAGAAACAGGAGAGCTCCGTCGCATCGCAGCATAGCAAGAGAGATAACATACGGTGATAAAATGCCCGGGGAGGGAGAGGAGGCCTTAAAAAGATGGCGGTGATAGAGCAGCATCCAGACCTGAACCGGCAAAGGTAACCTTATATGATCGTTATCTGTATCGATACAGGAGAACAGAGCCTCGTCAATATCATCATGTTCTAATGAATCAGTTTAGGTCATGTCCAATCAAACATAGAAATATTGGAGCTGTATCACATTGCAAAATTTGATCTCATTTTGGTAGTCAGACGCAGTTCAAACAATTAATCGAATTAACCAATAAAGCAATCACCAGCACAGGCTATGGGATGGATCTTTACTATCAGTCTGCTTCTTCCTGCCTCAGAGGATCGGCAAAGATAAACACTCCTATCACTTCCTCACCCATTCTCAAAGAAAGATTTCCTCTTATATAGACATACTGACACACACACAGTGAGAGACACACACACACACACACACACATGCAGAGCAGTGCTTGCTGCCATATGTGAGAGGGGAAGTTCAGCAAAGGAGGGAGGGATCAAGTTAACTATCAGCAGTGCCACACAGCTCCACACAACTCACAGTCCGTTTCTCTGATCACTCTGCAGGTGAAGAATTCTCAAATCAGGCAAGGGACACACACAACGCTGACTCAATACTGACTCAATACTGAGACCTCCCCAGACGTTGTTGTTGCATGAAGGTGGAGTCATTTAGAAGAGGAGAGGAAGAGAGATGAGGGGAAAACAAGAGGAGCCGCACAACCAAAGAGGACAGATGGATTGTCTGACAAGCGCCTGGACTGATCAACATTCCTATTTAAGTCTTGAATCCTGTTTTTGCTCTTCAGAGTAGAATCAGAAAATGCTTTCGTGCACATGTGGAGTCTATTAGGCTCTGTGCAGGTAGATGGTGGTGCGTACCATTTTTATATAACTGGAACTGAAGGATTTTCACAGTTTTTGGCATCTTTTCTCCTCGGATAGCAAAAGTTTTCTTTTGTCTTTATTCCCTTTTTTTCCCCATAAATTGCTTGGATATATAGGACTTTGGAACAACCAAGATTGATATTTAAAATATCACAAGCAATCGAAAGAAAACAACTACATACAAGGAAATCAGGAAAAAGTTGACTGAGGACTGTCTGATAACATCCATAAACCTTTAAATCTTTCTAGAAGAGGACTCCAGCTGAAAGTATCTGCTTTGTACAAAGCAGTCTCTTGGAAAATCTTGGAATTTTGCGCAGGTGCTGTTGGAACTGGACTCTGCAGGGGGACCATCGGACCGAGTCCAGACTGAGGAGGGCTTCCCTCCCTTCCCTCCCAGTCTATCCTCGCCCCCAGCAGCATGTCCCAGGCTCTGAGGCTGCCTCAAGTCCTCCTTACAGCACACTACCATGATCAGATGGACTGCTGGAGGGAGTAAGGCTGCCTTTGCCGCGTTTTGCTCCAGGCCTGCGTTAGGGGCTCACTCTGGCTTCAGGGGAAGCGCCAAACAAAGGTCATCGACACTGCTTTCCTCCCTTTTTCCTGTTGTGGTAACCCTGGTGGTTTTCTCCTTGTCCTTACCCAAGACTGCCTGCCATCAGCTCGGCAGAGATAGACTGAGGCCTAACAACCTCCAAACACCCAGGCTCCCACTGAATATCTCAGAGCCTGAGCTGATACTTACTCCCAGGGCCACCAGGGGCCCCAGGAGTCGGACAGGAGGACATCAGGGTAGGCATGTGCGCAGCTACAACCACCTACAAGGGGATGTACGCAGGAGAAAGCTGTTCTCTTTCCAGAAGTTTTTCCTGAGAATCGACAAGAACGGGAAAGTTAATGGAACGAAGAGCAAGGATGACCCTTTCAGTAAGTAAATCTCTGCCTAGGTGGATGTGAAAAAAGAGGAAACCCTAAAAGTGATCTATGGTAGCTCTAATAGTCACAAGTTCAGTTCACGTCTGGTAAAACTCTACAGCCCAAAATTCTGATCATTAATGAGGTTGATTCAATTTTATCTGTTCGAATGTTTTACTGTTTTTTGTTGAAGAACACAGGTGTAAAAAGAAATTATATCAACGGAGTCCAACATAACTTGAACAAGTCAAATTCAAAGAGGTCCTGACACAAATTCAAATGAAAGATACAACTTTGCCCACTAGTTTGGAGGAAGCATCCCCACCTTAGGTTGTCTTTTTGTTTTAAACCAGACATCTCGCTGATATCTCTCCTGTCCAAACACTCAGCACAACGATGGTAGCACTCAGATGGTTTAAAAGGGAGCAGAGGCTGATAAGTTGGCCATTATCAGGCAGTCTTCACAGCCCAGGGTAAACAGCCTTGATAACAGCCACAAAGGAACAGGGTTGGGACCGGGGGAGGATACGGATGTCAGTCTCACATTGATGCTTTTAGGCCTTTTCTGCCACTCTGTCTCTGCTACTCCCCAACTCTCCCACTCAGATTGCCCCTCTGCCAGCCAGCAGGCAAATTGCATACCTTCACTCACAGATCAGACGTTTGTTTGACGTTTTCACTCAGTGAAACATGTCTTTAAAGTGATTATATGTTGTTTGTTTCAGTGTATCAGTCAGTGAAATAGCATTCTTATTTGTCTTCCGGCATCCCCACCAAGCAATGTGTGTGTGCCCGTAAGCCACCAGGCGCTCACACGCTCCAGTGGGTGTGTGATCATATAGTTACCGACGGCGACACATGGTAACATGCTTTTAACACATGCACACATTTAAGCATCGGAGTCATTATTGCATTCTTCCTGTCTCCCCAATTCTCTGTGCTTCGCAGCCCCACGGTAAGAGTATGGAGGCTTCAGTGCTTGGTTCAGGGGAGCCAAACCACACACTGAATTCAATTGACTGGAGCAAATGGGGACTGAAGTGAAGTGTGCTCTTTCTGACAAAGTCATGGAAGAAGCAGCTTTATTGTCTGACTATATTGCAGAGTGATGTCTTCACTGCCACGAGTCTTGACGGTTCCCCTTTAAGTTGTAAAAGTGAAGCAGAAGAAGAAAGTCAGACTGAGTTCACTGTAATAGCCACGGGGACAATTTCTCTGAAAGGTTCTTCCACTTTTCTATTTCCTTTGCACGTACTCACACGTTCATGTTTCAGGACTTCGTGGGCATTTTTCGAAAATCGTTCTATTTTTGCAGAGGACTGAGCATTCGGAAGGGAGGTGAAAGGGAGATTCTCTAGAGATGCAAGTTCATGAATGGCGCGGCTGAACATCATTGTAGCGACATCAAAGCTGTGGATCTTCAGTATCAATGGTGGTGCCATCAAAAAGCTGTGTCCTGAGGGGGTCTGGCGACACTGTGTGTGGATTATGTGCTGCCATATCAGGTTCACATGGTAAAGGATACTACACAACGGCAGCTTCAGTCTTTGCTCTGGCCCCAAGGGCTAGACATGATCCCTGAACTGACGTCCTTTGTAGAACCCTGGACTATCCCTTTAAATGACATAATATAATTTTTTTCCTGCTGAACAGGGAGATTAAATTAGATTAAATTAAATTAATTCCATAATATTATACTATTGCATGTATTATTTGCTGTTATAGACCTACGTGTGATGTGCTTTGGGATTTTTTGGTGCTGCATGTGGCCCTGAAAGGACCCTACACACTTCTAACTGTTACAGAGCCCGTATCCAGCCTCCCACAGATTTATGGGGATGCCAGTGTAAAACTGTCCCACATGGCTTTCTAAGCCGCCAGGGGCCTGTGCTGAGGTTAAAGAGAAGCAGCGAGAAAAGGAGGAAGAAAATCTTAAAGTCAGACAAGTAGCTATCTGTTTGGTCTTAATGTGCAGTTAACATATCTGTGATTCACGGCTGAGCTCTTGTAACTTTCTCAAAATCTAGCAGTTATTTGTTAAAAAGTACCAAATCATAGTCAGGAATGGGCTCAGTGGTAAAAGACTGTGTGTATTTGTACATTCATATGTAGCAAACCATGTGTTTTATTAGTTTTATAAACAACTACTTTGTGTGAATGTGCATCCTGGTGGACGTTCATCTTACTTAATCAAATTAGTAACTATACATGGGAGTAATGAGATGTATAGCTTTTCTGGCTGATAAGAGTAAATATATTCTGTTTTGCTCTTATTGAGTGTTACTGGACTGTACTGATTTACACCTAATTTTTGCTCAACAAGAAATTATATCAATCAGATGTCATATTCTTATCATGTCTGCTTTTATCTGTGCAGGCTAAGGCAAGAGTGAGAAACGATGCCACAAGCTGCAAAGCACATGCCTCTTTGGCCTCCCACTGTGGAAAAACCACCTTTAATTCTCACTGGCATCGTGTTCATCCATTCCGCAATCAACACCCCACTTACTGTTGTAACTCCAAACAGAGCATATCAAATAAGCCACACTTTGGGGAAAAAGTAACCAGCATGCTAAAGGAAAAAAAAAGACAAAAACTGCTGTCTCTCCACATAAACAGCTGAGCCAGGTGCGCTCACTGTCGGTGAACCTTTTACATTAGCGGTCTGTAACACGTTTGCCACAAAAAAGCCCTGCGTTCACATTTTGTGTTGTAATCGACGTGAAGTTAACTGCAGAGCGTATTTTTTTCTTCTGCCGCGTTCCACGTCTCACAGCCAACAGCTCGTTACTTTCCGATTTTGAGTCAAGCTGAGTATTGAGGCTTTCAGAGCACCGTGAACTTAGATTTAGTAGATTCACAGCCAGGTTCAGTTGTGTGCATGCTGTGTGCAAGTGCGCATTCACCTGCTAAAGCCACGTCTGTGTGAGTGCGCGAGTGAGTCCATTAAAGCGCGTGCGTGTGTGTATATACAACCTGTCTCGCCCCTGCCTCCGGTGGCTGACTTTGATCAGTGATCATTACAGCCTTTCTAATCCTCCCTCCACCCTCAGTCTCACTGTCATGGCTCCTCTGTCCTCCTCTGTTCTCCCTCCTTTCATCCCTCCCATGTTTACAGAGCAGCCAAAGACTGCCATAGATTGTCTTACATCCTCACTCCATACCTGACATCCGATCCCTTACAGAAACCAGCTCCTCTCAGATCTTCAATGACTGTTGTGTCACAGTCCCCACCACCGCCTTTGCAGCCTTAGACCTCACTGCCCTGAGGTGCCACTGTTTGAACTAGAAACTGATACAGTCAGGACCTCACGGATGAGGAGAGAAGCTGCTGTATATTTAAGAGGGGGATTGTTCTTGGGGGGGCACACCTGCACCCTCCGCTGTCCACTCATTTGCAAGGCTGACAACCTCAGAGTTCACCCCCGTCACTGGAGAGTGGGGCTGACAGTGGATCAGGGTGCCACACAGTCATCAGACGCGGAAGGGGGCCGCACATCTGATCAAAGGATGTCTTTGGCTCTCCGGAGTTCACGCCCCCATGCCGAAGTGTGTGTGTGAGTGCATACACACGCATGCTTATCGAGATAAAATAACGACAGCTCACAGGAAGTGGGGAAGGGAAGTCAGGGAGGGCGGCATGAAATCAAACATGTCATGGGAACCAGCAGGGTTCACTTACAAACACACACCAGCAAAGGACGAGACAAGTGGTTTCTGCGGTCAAAAGACACATTGGGAAGTTATATTTCCCTGACCTCTGGTACTGAGACCACACAAATGACTCTAACCGTCTGCCTCACGTTGACCGAGGCATAAATTACCCTGTCTGGTACCCTATGAGAAACCGGAATTATTTGTCTTTGGACCTGGAAGCCCAAATACCAAACAGAATGTAAACGCTTGTGTAATTCACCTATTAATTTTCCAACAGAATGACCTGTGCAGCTGGAATCTTTTACATAGGTGTAGGCTGTGAAGTCAGTTTATAATATCACAGAAATAATAAATGTGCTCAAAAATAATTGTTGGCTCACAAGAAATTCCCATGCATTCCCACATGTAAATGTCCTGAAACTGAATACAAAATGCTGCCAGTCGTAACACTCCAACATCTGTAAAAGCTGGATTTCTCCCCATCTGTATTCACATGTTGACTTCTAGCACAGTGTGAATCTTAAATACTGAAGTAACTATAATGAGAGTCATTCATCATTCATACTTGACATAAAATGAAGGCTCATTATGCATATTCTGAATGACGCATCCTGATTTAAGCTTCTTTTTGCTGAATCTTAGGTATTCTGGAAATCACATCTGTGGAAGTGGGAGTGGTGGCCATCAAAGGCCTAAACAGCAACTACTATCTGGCAATCAGCAGGAAAGGAGAGCTGTACGGAGCGGTTAGTATCCAAGTCAGAGGTCATACTGGACGCTCCAGATACGAAGATAGGGTTAGATTCTTCTGTCCTTTTCTTAGGCAGCCTTATCTCTTCTCCTCTGGCTGCTTCATCTGCTCTGAACCACAAGCAGGCCCGTGCACACGTGTAAACCCCTAGGAGAGTTTTGAAGTTTCTTGCAGACTCGTTCAAAGATGTGCTCTAGTTTCTACACCAGGACAGAAATCATATTGTACAGTGTAGATTGAGGATACAGAGCAAATGTATAATTTCACATGAGGATTATGTGCAGCTTACATTTTGAATATAAAACACTTAAACACTATACCTACTGTTTTCCCAGAGGGACTTTGATGTGGACTGCAAACTGAAGGAGCGGATTGAGGAGAACGGCTACAACACTTACGCATCCGCTGAGTGGAAGAACAAGAAGCGGCAGATGTTTGTGGGTCTCAACGTCCACGGGAGGCCGATAAGAGGAAAGAAAACCCGGAGGAAGAACACAGCCACCCACTTCCTTCCAATTATGGTGTGAACTTGAGAGCCCACCTGGAGTGGGGATAGAAACATATACAGCACTGGACAGAGAGGTTTTCAATACTGGGCTATAGTACTGAAATAAAGACATGGATGGAGAAATCTCTCATTTAAAAAAAAAAAAAAGGCACTAACACTGTTCCACAAACATACGGTCATATATGCTTTGATTGAGATTGTGTACGTTCATTGGGTGGGAGAGAGTGATTTGTGTTTTAAGTGGCACCGAATGCAAAAAGTTTATCCTTTTATTACCGTGCCAAACAGTTTACAGCTGCAGAACGTGTGTAATGTGGACAAGACACAGGGGACTATCCCAGCTAAAGAACTGTAAAACATATTCAAAGAAGTTACTTGTGATAAGGATTCACCAGCGAGACAGGAAACAGAGCATAGCTAAACTGAAGCAGTGACTGGTCAGATTATCACAAACGCATTGAATATTAGAGGACAACACACATTTAAAGCAAATGTTTGATACTTAACCATTGTGTTTTGACTGAATTGTAATGATTTATTTATTTTGTGAGATATTTAACTGGAAGGGACACCAGCATTTCTTTGCATTCTACTTTTTATAGGATCTCTATCATGTGAAAATAAAACTACCAGTTTCTCCTCTGCAACAAAGAGTCTTTTTCAATCTACATATCAAATACTGAGTGAACTGCGGGAAAAGTCTTAGCACATGTGAGAAACCCTGGCAAATGTTCAGGTCATGGTGGGTCTATTCTTATCTGACTCTGTGGGGAGGGACAAAAGGCAACCATTAATGCCTAGCCAGATATTCCATGTGGGAACCATTGTGCTAATGATTAGAACCAAAAACAAACGGGAAACAAACCACAGCAAATTAGGGGGGAGGCGACTTCCCTGGTATGACCTGTAGATGATGACATCATTTCCGAATATCAGCACATACCTGCGGGAGCTGCAGCTTTCCCCGATGGGAGGAAAGATTTCTTTGTTAAGGGCAGCAGCTCTTTTTAACCACCTGCAGAAAACGGCTATCGAAAAATAGCTTTTAGATGTCTATCCACGGCAAATGAATGTATGGAGGAGCCTCTGTGAGGAGGGAAATTATGGATGAGGGAGAGGGAGAGATATGACCTGCGTCTGACCACCCACTTCCCTCAGTAATCATCCACAAACGCACTAATCAATGACAGCTGTCTTGATGGCAGATCAAAAGGCTGCGGGGGGAAACATTAACACCACAGGCTTCCGGGCCTCATGCTCTCTTATCCTGCCTTTTAGAGCATCTATCTTTGAAGATGCAGAGGAAGACAGAGAGGCACAAGATGGACTGCTGAAAGCAATGGCTATGACCTTCAGTCTTAAATTCATTTATTTGGCCAGCTTGGGACCATATATGATGGAATGTAAACAATAAAAACTGTTGGATATAGCATCCGCCACAGTAACTTCAATATCATTTAATCATCATATCCTTTCATTCCTCAGTAGACCACTTCAGCAACACATCTATGTGTACCTGTAAAACATTATGTCACCTCTGAGTTTTTTTAATCAACAAATTATTTGGAAATATTTTGATGACGAAGACAGTTGGTGGGACATCTTACAACTAGTCTGGTCTGATTTTAAATCTATTTTAAGCAAAGATGATTTATCAAAGACATGGGAAAAACAGAAAAGTTCTGTATAAAGTCATATAACCTTCAGGAAGCATGACATTAAAAAGACAAGCAAGAAGAAGTAATCTCTACATGAGCCCTAGAACACTTGCAAAATTAATTTCAATCAATAGTATGTCGCTGAGAAAACAAATGGATCTGGGCCACGTAGGAAAAAAGAAAAAGCTAAATCTAAAATTGTGCATCCTCTGGAGTCGGGCTCGTAAAACTAAGATGAACTGAAAGCAAGCTAGCCAAATAAAAAACTATATCCTCCACAGGAGAGGAGCCACAGGTGATTGTGTGGAGGTGCATTATTTCACATTATTTTTATTATATATTAAACCTAAAGGTTAATGAGTAATATTGGTTGTCATCAAGATAACATTTGTCTCTGTTTAACAGTGTCTTTGGGATAAATCATTCTTCAAATATGTCAAACCACCTTCTATGCATACTTAACAGACCCTGGTGAAAAGAGCAAGCACTTTGTAAATTATTTTTATAAAGCCAAATTAATACATATGTAACGACTCATCTAGCAAGAAATGAGAAAACGTTCTCATTCAAATTGACAGCAGTTGTTTTTTATAAATTCGAAATGCTTACAGGGTTGGATAAAATAAAAAAGAAGGGTGATGCAACACAGAACTAATCATGTTCCTGGCCAGTGTTTTTAAAATAAAAACCTGCTGGCAAAATCATTCTAAATGAGCATATGGTTTTTACATAAACAGTCAAATCCATCTGCTATATAATTTCACCTGGTGTCTATTTTATAGCTTGCAAATCACCACATTCTGTTTTTGATTATACTTTTATACAGCATCCCAACTTTAGAAGTTATGGCCATAATTTGCGTGTATGCGCAGATAATGATGCAGTCAATGAATAATAGGGATTACCTGCATTATTCTAACCAAAGCACCCACGCAACCATCTGAGTGCATGCACACGCACAAATCCAAGCCATTTGTCATTTTTTGCATTCCCAAGACTTGTGAATGTTTGAACTCCCTCCAAGAAACTGGCATGAGGAGGGAAACAGCAATAACACAAAATAGGTGCAGCAATCTTTTATCAAAGTGGGTCTTTGACTTTCTGGCACTGGAATTCTCTGTGGTATAATGTGATCCAGCTTTGGGAAACAAGTGGAAAATGCCTAGAGGCTAAAACAACTAATGAATACTTACACGGAGATGTCTGGTGCAACACATGTTTGCAGTGGGCAGCTACTGAGTGAGCCAGGGAGAGAGGCACTTCTGGGAGGGTTTTCGTTGCACATGTCCCACATTTTCTCTGAGATAAGAAGGTGGGGGATATATAACCTTTTGAACATGGGCAATTAAAAAACAATTAATAAAAATAAAGGCCATCATTATGCGTCCATGGCGCGCAAACAACAACTCGATAAACAAAAACCAGGGCTGTAGCTAATACTGCTCACGCGACGTCAGTGGGGTCATGTCTATGGTATCTATTCAGATATTATCTCAATATGTGATCAAGAACAAAGCAAAACTCAAATACTGATGCAAAAATTTGAGTATGCAAAAGGAATGTGTATTTTTGTCATTCCAGATGCGTTGAATCATTTGAAAGCGTACTAAAACTCAAGCTTAGGAGGGGAAAAAACTCTAAATAAATGAAGACATATAATATGTTCAGGTTTGGCTTCTAGATTTTATGGAGTTTGATTTTGAATTAGTTTTTGTTTTGTATATGTAAATCACGTCCTGTAAAAAAAGAAAAAAAATTATTAAAAATGTTGATAGTACATTTGTAGTTGTTGTTGTTCTCACTCAGATCAGGAACTAGTTGATTTTTATGCCTGGTCACTATCCGTGGCGGATTCAATCAAATATTTGTTTCATACGTCACACTTCCAACTTCCAACACAGCAGACTATTTCCGCACTTCCACTCCGAGCCACTAGTAGGAGACAGTTTCAGTTTCATATCAAATATAATGAATTATTGACGGCAGCAAGTTTGTTGATAAAGGAAGTAGCTCTAAAAGTTATGTAGCATTAAATACCCAGATGCAAACCGAACGAGAAAAGCCCACCATGAAAGAGAGATAGGGCGTGTGTTATTGTGATTTACTTCTGCGCAAAAGGAGCCAGAGACAGCTAGTGGACAGTTTACATAATATATCTATCTCAGATGCTGTTTTGGGGAGTTTAGGCTGACAATAAGCAGTCATGACTGAGAATTTTGACCGAGCTCCGGGAGCAGGTAGAGCCCGCAATGTCGCAACAGACCACGGGCTCGTAGGAAACGCCGGAGAAAGTGACACCAAAACGACGCTTTTTAACCAAAGGGAGCCGCTGAGACAGCCGCGAACAACGCAGCCCTTTGCGGAGAGCAACTCTGGCGCGGCCAACGTCTTGGTCGGTGAAGGTGAGGAGCTAATTTAGCAAAAAGAAGCGGCTACTTTCAGATTCGATTCTTGCGACATGTAGCTCGTTGACGGAGTCACCGGAGGCCTAATTGGTCTGTGGTTGGAATTCAGAACTTAAAATGAACCAGGGTGGACGCTATCTTGCTTTTTTTGGGGGGGTGGGGGTACGTTTCACTCAATTCTGAAGCTGTTATTAGCTAGACAGCTAGCTAGCTGCAGAATGTCAACCTTGATTACCACCGTTTCCTCAGATGTTGGCACATTAACTCGTCTTGTCATTCCATTTGTGCTAACACGGCACCTAAAATAAAAAAACGGCTCCCTCTCAGATGACACACTTACCCAGCAACGGGACAGGAATAAGGCCATTTGCCCAGCTCGAGCTAACGTCCGCTAGCTGCGACTCATTGAACGTTAGTGTCAGTTAGAAACGCAAACACGGAGTGAATGAACATCATTAACATCTTCGTTTTTGAACATTTTCGTGCTTTGAGGGTCTGTTATTCCTGTCCACTGTGGTCTTTTGCTGCCAGTCACTTTCAGGGTCTCTGCCTATTGATTTACATTTATGAATTTAAGGATGTGTATTCTGTATTTTGTTTTATTGTCAGTCAGAACTCTTTAAATGGGTCAATTAAATGGTTCTACTGCTGAGCTACAAACTATGCTCCAACAGTAGAGCTATTTGGATATTGGAATGAAATACATTGTTTCAAGTAATTGTCTTTCATTGGTTCCTTTTTGAAGGATAGCTAATAGCTAATGGGAACAAATTTACAACCCCCCCCCCATTTTGCATTTGTCAGAAAAGCTTGAAATGTCTTTTTTTCTAGATTCCAGGAAAGAAAGCAGACCCCAGCAAAGTGTGACTGCCAATGCTGCTCTTCCATCCAGAGGTCATAATGATGTGGACACCTTGATTAAGTCATCAAAGCTCTCCGCCTGTGCTCCAGAATTTGTCCCTTTTGGGATGAGCTCATATGAAGTAAGAGCAATTTTAAATGGCCACTCCCCGTTAACCAAACATAATCTTTAAAATGACTGATTAAGGCATTGAGTTTGGGGTGTATCCAGCGTTACATCAAAAGCTTTGAGGATCTCCACAAACTTTTGTTTTAAAGTTTGGACTTGTAACTCTATTTTCTCCATTTTCGTCCAGGAACCAGGTTACTATGATGACAGCGAAAGCTATTACTGTGAATCAACGTTGGCTGAGACGGTCACAGACTTCCTCGGTCACCTGAGCTCCTCACCAGGTTCATTTGAGTCTGATGTTGAATATATTGCCTCCATGCTCAATTCCTGGGTTACCAGTGAGGAGCTGCTAAAGGAACTGGTGGAACTGATTTACACACAGGTTGGGAGACATTCAGCTCTCGTTTAAGAAAAAAAAACAAGTTTGAGGATTCATTTGATTACCAAACCTGTCTGAACACATTTGATTTTATATCAACAGAAATATGTGGGCCTCCGGTGATTTCAGATTTGTTTTTATTGCAGTCTACCGCTATCCCAAACTTCTCTTACACCGGTGCCAGGCTCTGTAACTACCTGTCCCATCACCTCAGTTTCAGCACAGAGAGTGGCAATTTTCGTCAGAGGCTTTTGCAACGGTAAGCTTGTTTTATAATGTGTTTGAGTCGGATGAAGACACGATTTCACGTCTCATAAATGTTCACATGCAGACAAATACTGTTAGGAGTGTAAAGATCAAACTGGGGGGGGTTATCATAGTGAGGTTATGGAAGAGTTTTTGAATAAAAAATTGTCGCCTTGTCCAGATGTCAAAAAGAGTATGAACAAAGGGATGCAGCTGTTAGAGGAGACACCGAGACTCAGAAGAAATTCCACTCCTACGTCCTGTTTCTGGGAGAGCTCTACCTCCACCTGGAGGTGATGCATAGTTCTTTTTTCTTACACGCTCACAGACTCCCTTTCTTTTGTTTGTGAGCTTCAATCACCAAAATACATCTAATTTTGCCTCCTTTTTTTCCTTTATGTTAATCTTTATTTTGATAGATAAAAGGGGGGAAAGGACCTCCAAAAAAAGCAGATATCCTCCTCAGTGCTCTGAGAGACTTGCTGATCACTCTTTTCTCTAATCCAGTGGACGAAAACCTCATCTGTGCGGTCAAACTGCTCAAGGTTTTACAAATTTCTTGGCTTTTTTTTTTATGAATTCGTTGTTAGGGTTTTTTATTGTGTCTTGCTTATGTAAAATTAAAAATAAGAATGCTTTGAATTTGCAGCTGACTGGGTCTGTCCTGGATGATGCATGGAAAAAGAGTGGAAAAACGCACATGGAAGACCTAATACAAAGAATAGAAAACGTTCTATTGGACGCCACCTGCAGCAGGTGTGTATATCACCCATCAGATTTCCTTTACAAATCTTCTGACTGTCCTTGAGGTGCTGCTGTATTGACTGTTATTTCCGCTTATATTTGAATCAAGTAAATTAGGGGTTGCAAAGGAATTAAGGATCTTAGGCGAAAGTGTGTAAAAAAAAAATAAAATAAATAAAATTGTAATCTTTTTTTTTTCTCTCAGGAATGTGAGACAGATGCTCCTAAAACTGGTGGAGCTGAGATCCAGTGACTGGGGCAGGGTCCATGCTGCAGCGGCAGCCAGCAGCGCCACTCCAGACAATGACCCCAACTACTTCATGGTCAGTTTCTGGGGAACCCTCTTTGACCGGTCACTTTATTATTTGTTTGTTTTGTTTTTCTCCCGTTTAACATGCTGTACTCCCTCCGAATGAAATGAATCTCCATGTTTTCTTCACCCGTCAGAACGAACCTACCTTTTACACTGAAGATGGGAAACCTTTTACAGCAGCAGACCCAGGTGAGCACCAAGAGGGATGACCGAGTTAAACATTTTAAAGCTAGTTTTAACATATGCAGGTACACTTGATTGTAAGCTTGTCTTCTTCCTAAATTTGTATTAATAATACAGTAAAATAAAGAACTAACTGTCACCTCTAAGGACCGGCACCGCTGTCTCTGTCACACATACCGTGTGACAGATGAAGAGGGATGAACCCCTTTTTTATTCTCGTTTTTGCAACCGAGTGACAGATGGCTCCCAATTCCAACCAACTAGTCTTTCAGCGTGGTTTCTTCATACTTTTTGTTGTGTAGATCCAGTTCTTTGAGTCAGTTTGTCTGGTTTTCCAGAATATGCCGAAAAATACCAAGAGCTGCTGGAGAGGCAGGACTTTTTCCATGATACGGATGGAGAAAATGGAAATGATGAGTAAGTATACATGTCAATGGCAAACTGATATGGATTATGTTGTAATTTGTTTTCAAACTCAACTGTTGTACTAGTTAATGTTTGATGGGTCTTAGCAGATAGAAACTTGCTGTGTTAGATGTTCATACAACAGTGTTGGATGTTCACCTTATCTAAGTTCTAATGTTACACTTTATTAAGGTTAATCATGGCCTTATGCTATCATTTAGAGTGCATCCTGGCAGTGCCACCATGTTGGCACCTCTTTGGTCGTGTGATTGGGTGATAACCTCACATGACACCCTCTGACCTGAGGGCCCCTGAGCTTGGCAAATGGGCTTGAGCAGCCCACAATGCCACAGGGTCAGCCAGGGCCTCAGATTCAGTTTAGTCAGCAGTTTGTCGTGAAAGAGGGCTTAACTCGCTCCTGTCCTCCCTCTGAGCTGTCTGTGAGCCGGGGCTTTTTGCGACCGCCCAAATGGCAGCTGGTTTCAGATGTTGCAGGCAGCCCAAAAATTGGAAAGCGCACATTTATTTTAGGAAAAGTGTCAGTATAAGCAGTTTAATGCCTTCACATCACCTTTTCCTGGTTTGTTCACAGATCCGACTTTGAAGACGAGATGGAGCCCGAGATAGAAGAAGCTTTTGAGAGTTTTTGTTTAGAATCGGAGAGGAAACGACAACAGCGACAAGGAAAACTAGAGTGACTCGACAAGTTTATACTGTGCTTTTTCTTCTCATCTTATTGGAATGTCGAACAACAAAAGAAGTTAGCCTTTGATAGACTGAGACTGTTTTACTGCAAACAAGCCTTTTAACAGAGAGCCGTTTATAGTTGCACTACTGATACTTTCTTCAGACAGTGTTAATTAGAAAGTGGGACAATCAGTGGGATAACTGTTCAAAAGTGTTCTCTTTTTTTTGTTTTTTCTGGAAGTTTTTTGATTTCCTTCCTGAGCTGCTTTCTTCTAAGGCTAAACTAAATGCAAAGAGGGAAATTGTGTGCCGTGGATCTTTTTATTTGGGGGGGGGGGGTTACTTTATGAAGCTGGGTTTGGTTAAGCAAATCAAATATTTACAGAATTTCTCAAATATCAACATTACAGGCCAAATAAATCCAATAGAAGGGAGATATGTGGACACTTTAGTACAGACACTCAAATACAGTGTAGGCCTGTTCTCCATAGTTGTGACAGACACATTGTCATGGCTGTTAGCCTGGGTAGATATCACTCAGGTGGGGTAAAGACCTCTGTGGAAAGCTGTAGAGTGCAAATGTTTTATAGAAATGTGAGTATTTGAATCCATTCACAAAGTAAATTGTCGACTCAAGCAGAAATAGGTTTTTTTTTCTTCTTTTTGAAAAAAAAGCCTCTTAAAAGAGTCAAAGCTAGACATTGTTAAACGGTGAACAAACCTAAACTCGCCTGAATCTAATTCATATCCTGAACGTCCTTCCCAATACATAGACGAGTTGCAGGTCAGGTTGGCCAAGGCCAACGGCAGAATGGATTCATCCCCATCACAGCACTGAAAGACTGTTTTTTCAGTGATTCACAGGTGTCATGAAAAGGAATGTTGTTTTATAGGTTGTAAATATTATTTATAGTATTGTTTGCCTGCAATAAATTCTTTAATAATGATAAATAGATCTGTTTTTTGAACTCTTAAGTTAATGACACATGTCGTGAGCTTTATAATTGGGGCAGAAGATCAATGTATGCTGGGTTTACGTCATTTTCAGTGTGGATTGTTAGACTACTATTTTCATTAGTCACAGTTCCTTTTGCATGATTTTAAGACAGAAAAACACCTAATTATAATTAGATAAAGTTCCACCAAAACTTTCATGTTTCAAATCGTAGCAAGAAAATCTTATTTTATTGATATTTGTTTTAATTGGGGTTTCCCATTTATAATGAATGCACCATCAGTTATGAAGATTTTGAAAACTTTTTTCAATGGTTATATGAGTTGAGCAACAGTTATTGATGTTGGCTGTTAAACAATAAAAACACAATAGAGCTTCTTATAATGATTCAATTAATGAATTATGCTCTTAAGGTTGCATTTCAGATTCTAGTGGCGTGGAAGAAAAGCCCAAAGTTTATGGAGACCTTTCCATGGAGACGTGAGTTATAAATGGTGTCATAAGGCCAACATTCACCAAGTTTTTTGTGCCTCTTTTACCAGCTCGGGCTGTTCAACACGTAAGTCTCAACAGGACTCTGGCTGGGGTCACTTCCCTTCCAATTGTGCAATCTGAGCTCCCAGGATCAGACTCTACGCACTCTAGCTCTACAATGAGATTTTTGTTGAGGTAAAGGTTTCAAAAAGAACGTTTTAAAGCAATCTGCTCAAAAACGGGTGTAAGTTATGCAAAAGTTCATTCGATTAGTTTTGCTGTACTTACAATATCACCTTACAGGCAGAATTCTGTTCACACTCAGTTACTTGAAATGATTAATCCTGAACAGCTCCTTCTCTAAAATGAGTAAACAGCTGATTTAGACGACAGACAGCGTTTTTCTCTCTCAGTGAATGTGTCACAGTGTGGTGTTTCCCGCCTGTAATGTAACGCACATTTAATCTATACAACACTTAGCTTCTTCTGAACTAACTCTGCCATCATGTGGCAAATGTGTGCATGCAGTGCACAGAAAATTTTCAACATTCACTCAAAGGATAGTCCATTAACCAAGGAAGCACAAAATCATGGTGAAATAGTGTTGTCATAGTGAGTTTGTCAGAAATAAATGTCTCTGAGTCATTCAGTTTGCACACATTTGATAAATCTTTTAAGAAACAAACAAAGGGGGGAGTATCCTCATGGATAGTACTTTGAGGCTGACCACACGCACTAATGTCTTCCATAATTAAATGCTATGATTTCACAAAGCACTCCCTTAACTTCTCCAAAGTTTATAGCTTTCAAACTGTAATAAACCAATTTTCAACTATTAGAAATATTTCTAAGATTACAGTCATACAATTTAAAAGTCGCCAAACCACTAAAACATCATATTTAATGAGTAATTAACTTCATGTCTACAAATAGCAATCCCTTCCCAGCAATTATGCCAGCCATCTCAGCCATCTCCAAAAGCTGATCACTGTTCTTCAAGACGTCAATTTATTAGATTAAAAAACTGCTCCATATTCTCTAGGAGTTTTGCCGATACTAAGTTACTCACAACCAATGAAACATCATATGCCACACTCAATTAGTTTTCATGTTTTGGTTGCTATGCGGCATCCAAAACACTGAAGAAGAGATTCTCCCTCAAGACTGCTAAACTTCCCACTGCCAGTAGTTAATGACCATTACTCTTTTTGTTTTGTTAAATTAAAGAGAATGCAGGCCTCTTCCTTGAAGATTCTTGGTGGTTGCTTTTGCTGGGAGGAGAATGATCACCAGTCATACAGTGACATTCCTGTAAGCTAAACAACGCACCGCAGATATTTTCCTGCTACAACAGCATAGCTCCACATCGACCATTTCTATAGCATGCAGAATCTTTTGTTTTCTTTCGGAAAACAGATCTGTTTGCGGTAAAGTGAGCGGTTGGCTTTTGTATGCGTGTTTGCTCCTCGGTAGTCGGGGGACATCCTGGTGATCTCATGACGATGCGTGACAAATAACCACAAAGTTAATCCAAATGTCAAATCTGTCATGTCTTTATTGAGATGCTGTATTTTTCACATCTGCCCATGGTTTCAGTTTTTCACAGAGAAAGCAGAAACAGGCCTTGCGTGTCAGGACCCAACTTACAGGCTACTTATATATGCAGCGGTTGATCTTATTTAGGCTTAGTGATCTGTATGTGCAAAAATGACGTGTCCGTTGTGAATATTTTCAGGAAGTACACTGCACACTGCTGATATCACAATCTGTATGCCACTAGCTACCAACTTCTGACTGGGACATTAGTATCATCATTCTTACAATAAGAAAACAAAAGTACATTTCATGACCTGTTACTTTTGATAATTTGGATATGTTACTGGACTAATGATAAAAACATCATATGATGATCATGGCCTCCCAACGTAGTGCTCAGAGTACTATATCAGCATGTCTGTGCACAGTCAGTGACTCGTGAGCCCCCGTGAGCCGGCTGGAAGTGACTCTAGCCCACAATAGAACAGGGAACACCAGGATCGGAGATTCCCATTGGTCAGCAGAAGGGCCTGAAAGAGGGATTAGCACCGTGCTGCAATCCGCTCACTCATAGCACCGTGAGCATGTAAATCCACATATTTATTCCATTAACGGCTCGTAAACATTACAGTAAAAACATTAAGTGTGAAATAACACGTCACACCGATGTTCATCCTGTGTTTTTTTTTTTTTTTTGTGGCCGTTTCCAAGACTTAAAATGCTTTGATTATGTCACAGATGGTGTGCTAGTGCTGAAATCCACAGGGAGCAAACCAGCGCCACAAAAAAGAATGGCTGCAGACCACAAACTCCGCATCCAACAAGCCGCTTCATTGTAACTAGATTTCTGACCATAAGTGGTCCCATTCACTGTGTGCTATGTTGTAACACGTTGTTGTAACCAGTAAAAGTCATTTTCTTACAAAAAGAAATCAAGTCAGCCATGTTGTCTTAAAGCAATGACACAGTTATTAAATGTGTATACAGCACAATTTGGACAAAACACATTCAAATAGAACTGTCAGTGTCATGTTCCCGCGGGATCTTTTTCTTTCTTTTGTTTTGCCCTGGAATGTACTGTACATTAGAATGTAAGGATGTGAGGGTCATTTTCTCTTCCTTTTTTACCAGGAGAGTAAAAGGAAAAAGCCTGTGATTACAAAAGGCGTTTATACATCCTGACCAACTAGAAATGATTCATGATCCACCTCAGAGGGGATTTTTCATGACAAGCCCTCACTGCCACACGCTGTTCAAGCCTAACAGGGAAATCTACCTCTGCGTGCGCTATTCCCAGACTCTTCCTAGGATTGTTCCACATGATTTAACAGGACTGTCGGAAACTCTTGGCAAAACCTTATTTGAAATGTTGTATGTATAAGGGTAATGCGGCATGGTGCCAGGGGGGAATTACTGAAACACATGGTGGTCAGTGAGTCAGTCATGGTAATCACAAGTTAAAGTCTCATCAAAGTTGAAAGAAAAGCTTAGCTTTTTCCAGGATTTGTTACTTATCGGGGCCTTTGTTTTACTGTGGAATATGCTTCTTTCTTTTAAATTGCTCAAGGTTGTCCAGCTCAGCTGATGACAAGCACACGAGTCACAACTGGCCAAAGAAAGAGGCTGAATGAGGTAAATGGAGTGATCCGGGGCCTTACACCTGCATACCATCCAAATGGATCACTTACTGAATCGGCATCCGCGTCACCCTGAAGACACCAGCCAAACATAAAAGAGTTTACTCTGTGTCACTCTTTCAGAGTCCAATACGGACAAGTTAACAGGCCAGGAGTGAGAGATTTTAATACGTTCTTGTGGCTCATAAGTCGTTGGCAGCTTACAAACGCCTTGCTGTGAATCTAAGATCTGATGTGGCCTGCTCAGAAGGGTGGAGACGGAAAATGTCGCTACCCTCATCTTTATTATTAGGCTTCACTGGCCTACAAGACAAGCTCGCAGTCTGCTGCACGAGAACTCTCAACTCGCAAAAGAGTTTGGACTGACAGAGTGGAACAGAGCTGCGATCTGGTGGGAATCTAGTCCAGTCTTTGAATCATAAATTGGTTCTTGAGTTCTTAATTCTGACTATCATCTGTTTCCCAGCAGGCTGTGGTTTTGTTAAAGGAAAGAGGAGGCTGGTGATTAGGTGTCAGCATATCAGGGGCCGAGCAGAGCAGCTATGAATGCCTGCATCTTTCAAATTCCACGACCCCAGTTCACAATGAAGGCTTTCTGTCAAAAACATGAACCCAGCACGGTGACATGAGGGTTCATCGCTGAGACTTCCGCCGAGGACATCACACAACAGTCTGCTGTTGAAAGGAGCCCTCATATTATGTGCCGTCATTTTCTGAGCACAGCAGCGCTTGGAATTGTTTCCAAATTATCTTACAGCTGCAAAACAACCCCGGCTGGAATGAGAATTCCTCTCAATAGTTTCCCCACTGCAGTGGCTTCCCTAGATTAAAAGTCTTACGTCACTCATTTCCCAAAGTGTAAAAAAGCTTTTGGTTAGTCTGACTCCATATTTTATAGCTGTCTCAGTTTGTTCTGTTTGTGCTTTCTGTTCTGATGCCGTCCTCACGCCTGCAGCTCAGGGCTTCAGGATGAACTCTCAGTTTCTTTAGTTTGTTGACATTATTTCTTCAAATCACCATCTGCTATTAGTCCGTTTAGATCAGCTCATGTTGGAGCCATAAGACAAGGATTACAGGAGATTTCAGCTAAAGCTCATGTGGCTGGATATGAGTTAAAGGCCATTGTTTGTAAAAACTTTACTTTTTATCCTTTTTTTTTTAAGTCTCTGGACTTTGATCGTTAAGTATTATCTACATCTGAGATCCTGCTCTCCATCGGAGTTGCTTTGAGTCTGCTGAGGGGAAACTTTATGACCCGGCTGACTGTGGGGTGGTAAAAGTCTGAGCAGGTAGAGGCAGATCGTCCTTATTAGGGAGCGCCATCCGGTGCGTCAGCCCCAACTCGCCCCTGCACTGTTCCGACTTTGACAAGTGCAGGGGGATTCATTTAATCGCATCAAACAAAGAGAATAAAGACCGGCATGGATCACCTCTGGATTTTCACCGCACTCATTCTCATGAGTAAGTAGAAGACTGAATTATTTCCTGGACGTTAAACTTTAAAAATGGGTTTAATGTGTCCATACGCCGCCCTTTGCTTCAAGGGTTTCAGACCACAGTTAAGCCTTTTCCCGAATTAAACTGTTTTGACCCGTCATTTAGAGATTCTGGTTATGAGACATTCGATTGCTCGGTCGTTCTGGATTTGTTGGAATAGTTTTTGATCGGCTTTCTAAACTTTAATCGCATCATCGGAGGAACTCGGTGCGTGAATTTGCTCCAAATGCGCTTGACTGTTTTTTACTTGGATGTAAACTTGACTTTTCTCCCGATTATTAAACTATTTGATCAGACTCACCCGGGATAATGCGTCGGTATAGTTCTCGCACGTTTAGCGTTGCTGGAAATGGCTTCAGCTAAACCTTTGGGCTCTTTTTTGCGCTCTCCACATGACTCAGATGAAAGGAAACGGGATGTTTTCATGCTCTGGAGTGGAGAAGACTGTGGGAGTCAAAGTGCTGTTTTGTGCTGCGGCTCCACAGGTGTGGCATGAGGCTGTGCTTGTGCAGGTATCCTGAGTCCAATATCCATCCACATTCCTGTCCGCGCGGATTAGGGGGGGGCGCTGGCTGAAGGTTGATCAGAGCCTGTTTGGGCTTGTGGCTCTGACAGCACAGGAGGGTTCTGAGAAAAAACTCCACCTGGGGCTGTTCAGACCGTCTGAAGATTGGGAATATTATTGAGAAATCAATTGTGCAGTTTGCACGTCCAATAAATCGAACTGCAACGCCTCAAGATGCCCCTTTTTTGTCTTCCCCCCCATGAGTCAAGCTTGTAGGTTTCAGCCTTTAAACGTTGGTGATTCAATCACAAGTGGCTCTGAGGAGGAAGTGGCTGAAAATGACTGTATAGACAGAAGGTACATTTGAATATCAAGCATTTATCTTATGCTGGAGCACACATTTCGTTCCTTATGGGGTTGAACTTTTCAAGAAATTGTTCCAAAACACTCCATAGTCTTATTTGTGATCAGTCTCACATTGTAAAGTCACATCATCTTTCTCTCCCACCAGCTGACAGATTCCACCAGTCACAGTCCTTCAACGTTGGCACTGCAGGGGCCAAGATCTTCAGCGGCCCCGCGTCAGAAGAGTTCGGCTACACAGTCCAACAGGCCACCAACCATCAGGGCAAATGGTAGGACTTGATGTCACCAAGTTTTGATTTCCATACGCGTGTTTTCCGTGCTATTTTCATCCAATTTATGTGCGAATGCCCCAGCTGGCACGTGGTTTGTGTTCCTTCCTCTTATTGCCTCTGTGCTGAATTATGGGACGATTGTCTTCAAATAGCTCGTGTCAAGGGGCTGCAGGAAAAACTCTGCTGAGGCAGACTTGGTCGAACAAAGGGGATTTTTATTGTCAGCCAGGTCCGAGTCAGAAGTACAGATTGATGCATCAAGTCTGGAGAGGTCAGAGAAAACTCTGCCCCACTCTGAATATAGTTAATCCATATAATAGACATTCCCTTTTTTGTCCTCCGCCAAGCCATTTCCATCCAGGCATGCAGCTAGAATAGACCAGATAGAATATATTTTATCTATATCATAAACATTCTACTCTCATCCTACACTCTGCTTTAGGAATGTGTATTTACAAATGTTTATGCTCTACAAACAGAACAGTCTGTGCTTAACTGTGAGCTTCAGACACTACACCACCTAAAGTGGTTTACTCTGAATTCATCGGGTCCCACATCTGGCATCACGACTGGATGTGTTCTGACTTCTGAACAGAGGTTAACGCTGGCCTCACCAAACATTAACAACTGAACACTGCAGAAATACAACAAAAATCTGCTGGACTGTGGAAGCTGTGACTGAAACATGGCGTTCGATCTGACATGGAGCCCTTTGACTTTAGAAATGACAACATGTTACTGCCCCCAAGAAAATGCACCTATATAAGCCTGTCACCATACTGTTGCCTCAATACCAAGTTTAAAGGGAAGTCATTAATGGACACGTCTGAGATCCTCCATTTAGCACGCCAAATGAAAAGCCAGTTCTTAGTTTGATGCACCATAGTATCTATAGCATCAGATATTCATTAATTTTTCATAGTTTAGCGGTTTTATTGAACAAATATAGCAATTGGAAATGACCACCGTTCCAGTATGACTGTCCTTGTTTCAGTTTCAGCCACTTATCTACACCCATGCATGTCATCACCAAGAATGTGGTCTGCAGGAGGAAGTTCCATGGAAACGGTGTCATTACTGTGACTGGTTTTTATATATGTCTGTTTTTTGTTGTTGTTGTTATGGTTTTATTGTGGGTGGACTGTCAGTAGTTTTGCTTCAACTGTGCCGAACATCGTGTTTACAGATGTTTACAAATGTGTCGGTGAGGTCAAAGATGAAGTCTGCACACGAGTGGGATCTTTTATGTCTGTGCACAGGTGGAGAAAAGCAGAGGGATTCATTTGTGTTGTATTTATCATTTTGACTATGAACTATTCGTAAAGAGGCTCAACTGCTTTTTTTATTGTGCAGGAACTGGCTGGATCAAGCTCCCTTTACAACTTGTGAGGGACATAAGAGGCTTGGCTCAAGTTTATATTAGTGCTGTATTTATTATCTGAAGTCACACAGAATTTGCCTACCTTACAAAATAGTTTTACAATTTTCTTCTTGATGTGAGCTCAAACTTAAGATAACACAAAGTGGAGTCATGGAACAACTTGTTAAACATAAACTTAGCTGTTTTTTGGACATAAAGCATTGCTAATATGTAACTTCTCTGAGTAGAATTTCCATAAATTCGAGTGAACCCCTGTTTGTGCTTTAGACGAACAGACATGCTAATGCAGAATATTTGCACAGTGCTACTATTTGAAAGCAGTTTAGATATGTCATGAAGTTAGTCAGTGGGCTGTGTTTTTTTTTTACCAACAGTTTTAAAAAGGGTACGAACAATTAGCTAAATAGAAAATGAACAAGAATGGCAATTGCAATTACAGTTGTCTTGGTCTTACTGTTGGTCTTGTTTTGGGAATGTATTTCATGTATGACTTTTAAAGAATGGTTAAGATGAAAACAGTGTCTATGTTCTCACTAAAGAAGAACAAAACAATAGCCTACAACAGACTGTACTTTACATATATAAATAATCTAAAACCAATCAAAAGCCTATTTTATTCCGTGCTGCTCAGTGCATATGGTGTCTCTTTAAAAGTCAACAATTAAATCCAACTGAAAAGTTAAAATAGCCTGTAACACCAAGGAATGCATGCTGTGGATATTTTTTTCTCATTTTGTATTTCATTTTTTGCAAAGTTTAAAAAAAATAGCTGATGAGACACAACCAGTGAAAAAAGAGATGAAAGGTATCATAAACTTTTAAACTGCGGAATTCTTCTGTCTTTCTAAACATCAAAATTCATAAAGCCAATCTTGATTCTGATGTTATTTGCGTGTTTATGACACAGTAAGATGATACAGTTCCTATTGATAAGCTGTCACTGTAGTATATTTGATTTTTTACAAGCCTCTAGGATTGATGCCAAGCTGTTTAACCTCTCTTATCTCTGCTTGCATGGCCTGCATTTGTGACACATATGCGGGTCATCTTTAAGGCGTCTTACATTTCCTATCTCTCTTGTGCAAAAGTTAAACAGTAACGAAAACATCAGTCGCGTCTAGTTGTTTTTACGTTTGCTCAGTCTGAGTTACTCACTGTCTACAGCAGTGCCCCGTTTGCATAACAGAGGGGAACATGGAGTAAATATCTCTGACTAATACACATCATTTCCTATCCACTGTCTAATTAAGAAGAATGATGTGTCCTACTTCGTGTGTTTTGTTTCTTCACTTTACGAAATATCTATTTATTCTTCTTTGTCCTGAAACCTCTAGCAAAACTAACAACTGCTTGATAGTTGTGATGTGCGGATTTAGTGTCTTTAGGCGATATTCTCTGAGTGAACCTGCACGATCATGTTATAATTTCATGGAGACTTGAAAAAAAAGAGGTACACGTTGACACATGCATATTACAGGAATACACAACAGAGTTTCTCAAAGAAGAAATATATCGATGTGTTTAATTAGCATTTTTGTTTTGTTTTTTCCCCACTATATAAGGGCCTGTATTTGTTTTTTTTAATGGAATTTAGGTTAGAGGCTCATAGATTAATGTGATGGTTGTCTGTAGGATCTTGGTTGGTGCTCCATGGAGTGGTTTCAGTGCAAACAGGAAGGGGGATGTTTACAAGTGTCCAGTGTCAGGATCCAGAAACAGCTGTGACAAGCTCAACCTTCAAGGTACAGTTTACCATATAGGTCCAACACTGTTACTGAAATCTAAATGTATGGGTCCTTTTACATTTTTTTAGATTAAAACTTCATATGTTTCATATATAAATATATAAACACATTTTTAACCCCAAAAAGTATTTAACTGACATGCTGATGTTATGATCTTTGATTGTTTTAATTCTAGATTTAATATCTCATTTATTTACAGATGCTATTAGTATTCCAAATGTTAAAGAAGTCAGTGTCAACATGTCGCTGGGTTTGACACTTACCCGGATGCCAGCTGTAAATGATTTGATGGTATGTGTGTGTCCATGTTATGAAAGTGTGTGTATATATTATCAGACAGAATGCAGACTTAAAGAGATTTCCTGAGAGCATGGGGGCTGCATTGCTGTCACAACACGCAAGATGGGTGTTGTTTGGTTTCTCAGAAAGGGCTTCAGGAATGTTATACTACCATAGTGTAGTATACCAGTTACAGTTATACTACATTATAGTGATACTACCATAGTGTTAGTTTTTTATGTTTTGTTTCGTATAAGGAGGGGAATAAATGTTTGAGGGCTTTGATAGCACCCGCAGATGCAGTCAAGTTTGAGTTTAGTCAAATTAAGATTGAAATAATTTCAGAAACAAGGGCCTACAAGAAGTATTGTATTGTATTGTATTGTATTGTATTGTATTGTATTGTATTGTATTAGCAGTGACAACCTTTACTATTTTTACTTGCCACCTGATATAGTTGTGCGGTCCACTGTGGGGACAGCAGTGTGGTGATCTAAACTTCTACCCAGGGATATGTGCAAAATTGAACCCACTCTTTCAACCCCAACCTGCCTTCTCTCCTGCTGTCCAGAGTAGGTGATATGATTTCCACAAATACAGATGCTTGAGTTTTTGTTCTATTCATCTTCCTGCCTACCCTGTGATGGACTGGGTGAACTCCACAGTTTGATGCCTCTCAGCTGCATGTTTATATGCTTTATATGTTCTCTCTTTTAGCATGTGGAGGGCCCATGGACATTGTAATTGTTTTGGATGGCTCCAACAGCATTTATCCATGGGAACCAATGACAGACTTCTTGAAGAAATTAATACCTTCCCTAGACATTGGGCCTCAAAGTACACAGGTAAATTTGGACCTTTATCTTTCATAGCCAGAAACCTGGGCTCTAGAGACACATTTTGTTACTACTGTCTTTTTGGTCAGTCGAACAGTTTTTGTGGTGTGATTTCTAACACTTTGTCACACATGTTTTTCATACCCCTTGCCAGGTCAGCCTCATTCAGTATGCAGTTAATCCCAAATTTGAGTTCAAGTTGAATGATTATAAAACCAGAGAAGAGGTGATTGCGAAAGCATCCACAGTTAAGCAGATGTTAGGTCAAGCTACCAATACCTTCCGTGCCATCCAGTATGCCAGGTTGGTATTACCAGACACGTACACGCAGTCATCCGTGTGTTGCAACAGTAAAGTTGTGAAAGACTTGTGAGAGCTCACTGTTTTCTTGTGTAACACTTTGATAGTCATCTTTTTGTAGGAGACCAGTTTGTGTAATTTCTCATTATTACATCAAATAATTCATGTACATGTATTGTTTGATTTCCAAGCATGTCTGGGTTGGTAAGCATGTGAGCATGTACATTTTTTTTTTCTGTGCTCACTCCCTGCAGTCAGGATGGTTTCGATCAAAGCAATGGTGGTCGGCCTGGGGCTGCCAAAGTCATGGTGGTGGTCACTGACGGAGAGTCCCACGATGAGTCTCTCAGAGACAACGTCATTGCTGAATGTGAGAGGCAGGGAATCACCCGTTTCGGTATTGCGGTATGTAATCTTCTGCCATTAAACCTACTCATTTCCCTTGCGGATTAGTCCTAGTACGGTCACTTGGGGGCATTAGCCTATCCCAGCTGTCATTTTGATCGGCACACTCACTCCTACTTCATTTTTTTTAAAATACATTTGTGTCCATCCACATATTAATTTTCGTTTTTTAATTTAATTTATTTATTTTTTTACAGGTGTTGGGCTACTACATAAGAAATAACATAGATACTAAAAACCTTGTTGAAGAAATCAAATCCATTGCCAGTTCACCAACAGAGAGGTTCTTTTTCAACGTGTCTGAGGAGGCAGCTCTTTCCACCATCGCTGGAACTCTGGGGAACCGCATCTTCAACATAGAGGGTGCATGTTATTGCATTTCGATTTTCTGACTTTCTTTTATCTGACACGAACACACCTTGAAGTCAATTTTGGTATTGGTCACATGACAATTTTTTGCCTCCAGTGGATACAGTATGTTCTGTTCTCACCAGGCACCGGAAAAGGAGCTGATAACTTCAAGATGGAGATGGCCCAGGCTGGATTTAGTGCACATTACTCCAGCAAACAGGTAGAGTAAAAAACTCAATGGAAAAATAACTGGAATTACGATTTGTCATTTGAATCATGGACTACATAAAATTGATAGCAGTCAAAGGAACATTTGCTAATATCTACACTTTGAAGTTAACTGTTCATTGTGGTAATTGTTGCTATGTTGTGCTGTTTAAGGATGTGATGATGCTCGGGGCAGTGGGGGCCTACGCTTGGAGTGGAACTGTCATCCATCAGACAGGCTCAAATGTGAACATTCTTCCTTTCTCGGCCTTTGAGAGGACACTGCAAGACAGAAATCACAGCTCATTATTAGGTAGGCTCTCACAGTTATATTAAGCTTTGTAGCATTGGAGGATCTTCAGACCTCAATTTAAACAGTGTCGGTGACACACAGAAATGGGTTCTCACCAAGTATTCCAGCTTCCTCCTACATGACTGTTAGGCTATTTGGTGACTCTAAATTGCCCATAGGAGTAAATGTGAGTGTGTGTGGTTGTTTTTCTGTGTAGGTCTTGCAACCATTTAAGTCCTTGATTTATATTTTGACTGAAATGTTGCTTAATTTAGCAAAAGCTGTCTAGAATAAATCCACTGAAGCGCAAACACCTCTGATTTCCAGGCATTTGTTCAAGTGTCCGATAGTAAGTGTGTTTTTTGTGTCCCTGTTCAGGTTACTCTGTCACCACTCTGAATGACGGCTCTACAGAATACTTTGTGGCAGGTGCACCTCGCTCCAACCACTCGGGGCAAGTTATCGTTTACACCATCGATTCTCAGAAGCAATCCGCTGTCGTGGATTCGGAAAGAGGGAAACAGGTACTCACATTAGAGGATGGGCAATGTACATTTACCCCCTATAGAGTCAAAATATGGCCATGTATGGTATGGCAAAAAAATGGCTTGAAGTGTTACAGATAGATTTGATCCATTATTGGTTGACAGCTGGAAATTGTTGTCTTAGATCGGGTCATACTTTGGAAGTGTGTTATGCCCCCTGGATGTGGACAAGGATGGGGTGACAGACCTGCTGCTGGTTGGAGCACCCATGTATATGAGCGAGCTGCAGAAAGAAGAAGGCAGGGTCTACCTATTCTCCGTCACCAAGGTAACAAAAAGCAGAAGATATTTTTCGGTAGCTTTCAGACATGACTGTGATGTCCAGTCGTGTCACTTTCTGAATGGAACTGTGTCATTTTGCCGTTGCTCAATCGGCCATACGTTTTTCCTGTGGCTTGGTCTGAAGGGTATCCTGAACGAGCAGGGATTCCTCAGCGGCCCGTCCCAAACTGAGAATGCACGTTTTGGATCAGCCATTTCTGCCATTCCTGACCTGGACCTCGACGGTTACAGCGACGTTGTGGTCGGAGCTCCACTCGAGGACATGGGGAAAGGTGCCATTTACGTCTACAATGGGTACGCGACGACATTAAATAAACGCTTCTCACAGGTATGACAAAAACTGCTACAAATCAGTTCTAAAAATCGGGTTTACACGTTTGCATAATTGTGGCCCTAAAAGGGAGATGATTAGTATTTCATGTTGCAAACGCTCTTGACATGATCATCCCTGTTGCCGTGTATGTGAGGATTGTATTTAATCTATCACAGAAAATCATCGGCTCAAAACTGGATCCTCAACTTCAATATTTTGGAAGGTCCCTGGATGGCTATAAAGATCTGAATGATGATACCCTCCCTGACATTTCTGTTGGAGCATACGGCAAAGTGGTGCAGCTCTGGTGAGTTTAAACAACCCAACGTGCAGGACCAATAAACAGGATTCATATTTGTTGTTGAATAGGTTGTCGTAAACCTGCTAGACTAATGACTATTTTGAATTGAACTTATTTTCCAGGTCCAGAGGTGTGGCGACTGTTACAGCTAAAACTTCCTTCACACCCAATAAGATCAACATATTCGACAGACAGTGTGACATTAATGGACGCATGCTTTCATGTTTCAACATCAAGCTGTGTTTCAGTGCTTCATTCAGACCAAAGAAACCCGTTGGACCCATCGGTAATTTTGATTACCTGTTAAGCTTAATAGGATTATTTATATATTTATGTATTTGTTTTATATTATTTAATTTTGATGCATTTGTTGCACTGGAACATTGTTTTAGTTAAATACAAACAGATTTTTTGTCAAATTAATATAGAGAAAGAAAATGAACATATCCCCAAAAATAGCTACATCTTAAGAAATAAATGTTTAACCGAAATTTCTTCTTTTCTTTTTCAGATATAACCTTCAATATTACTCTGGACGCTAACTTGAAGGATTCACGAGTGACGTCAAGAGGGCTGTTCAAAGTGAATGGCGAACGCTTCCTTAAAGACAGGGCAAAAATATCATCTGAGCCTCTGTGTCGAGACTACCAGGTTTATGTCCAGGTAACGACTGAAAACCCCACATGGATTACCTTCATTTATTCAAAACATTACCTATATTACTCTAGTCATCAAGCAATATGATATCATACTTCCATAATATTTTTTTGTTCAAAAGGAGACACCAAACATTGTCAATTCCCTCAGTCTGAAAGTGGAAATTGGCCAGGGAAATGAGGACGCCAACCCTGTCCTCGACACGTTTTCTCCGAGTGCATTTGAATCCGAAGTAAGTCTCTAAGCAATGAATGCACTGCAAGTCCTGTAGACCTACTTGGTTTACAGAAAACAAATCAGGTGTATGAGCACTTCAAAAGCCTCTGCAGGGAACTGTACAGTCATTTCAAATGACAGGGTTGTCCGGTGTGATAATAAGTGGCCTGTATCAACTTAGTCACGCATGTTATTTTTCCCAGCAACAAAACAATCATCCTTTGTGTGAAATCTATAACGAGTTTCTATTCGTCGTGATGGCACAGTTTCCAATTGAATTTTCTTACCCTGCTACTTTTTCAGATCCCCTTCACAAAAGACTGTGGATCTGATGATGTGTGCAATAGTGACCTTGTGCTGGAAGTCAGGACCGACTCTAAAGCATCCAGGTAAGAGTCTCTGAGCTTCCGCAAGTGTTTAACTTCAGTTTTAATATGTTGTTCTTACTGTTTACCATATGAGGACCTATGATCCGTCTCGTACCTGAAACTGATTAAAAGTGATGAGCTGAACTTGGGATGTTTTTATCATCAGTGTTTGTGAGATGATGATAGGCATGGTCAGACGTTTTGATTTTTGTTTTTAGTTTTGCTGTCCTCTTGTCTTTTTGCTGAAGGAGATGCAATTCTAAACTGAAACAACCAATTCAATTTATTTTTATTCCCCCTCTTTTAAAAATGTATTTTCTATCAATTAGCATAAATCATCCCAACAAAGGTTTTGAGATGTTAAAAATGTATCTAAATGCCCCTCTAGCAGCCCCTGGAGGCCACACAAAGCACAGGGACAGGGCAGATGATTTCACAGTATCAGCATGAAAGCCCTGTCATTTTCGTAAAGAGCAACACCTTTAAACCACATATAATTTCAGGTAAAGGAGTCTGGTTTTATAGACATTCAGCAGAAAAGAAATGATGTGCGACTGTTGGACCATCCCAATGCCAATTCTCTGTTTAGTGTTATGCCTTAGTAGTGCTTCACAACCATTACACAATTTTCTATTTTCTCTGTTTTATGGGTCTGTCTTTGCGAACAGCGACTGGACTAACCAGTCTATAAAATGGTCTTTTCACAATGAGTTCGGAAAAAATGTCCCAACGTTTGCAGTGCATGGAGACACTGAATTAACTCAGATAAAAGGACACAAACAAGGGCTTTGCTGAGACCATGCAACTGCTCTATAAAGTACTTGTGGTTTTGCACCATCACTTTTTTCCCCCTTTGATTCTTCAGTCAGTGGCATCAAAAAATCTGAGAAATTATCCTGTGCCCCTGTCCTATAGGTCAGCTCCCATTCTGGTCAGCGCTAATAGAAACGAACTGTCCTTTGAGGTTACTGTGAAGAACAAAAAGGAGAATGCATACAACTCCCAGGTCCTGGCCAAGTACTCCAGAAATCTGTACTACTCATCGTCCTCGTCTGTGAGTGAAAACAACATTTTTGCGTGCTTTTTCTGTGGCCGTGTGATGTGTTGTCCCTGTTATTAAGGCGCGAGCATTTAGGTTGTTCTGTGCTTTGATGGAGGATTTCTTTGCAGACGGATGGTGTCAAATGCACTGTTACGCAAACTGACACGGTCAGCTGTCAAGTGGGAAACGCAGCATTAAAAACAGGCGAAGAGGTAAGAAAAATTATGCTCCTCTTAGCTGCCTTTTGCTTTATTAATATCTCAATTTTTCTGAGTCACAGAGAGCTATGCAAAACTCCATTTGATTTGATTGCAGGTTACATTTCTCATCACTTTTGACTACAATTTTGACTTGCTGCAAAACCAAGCCGGGGTGAAATTTGAGGCCAAGAGGTACCCAGAATAGAGAAAATTCGGTTTTTATTTAAAGGATTGGCTTTTTTATTGTTGTTTTTGTTTGGTTCCGTTATTGCAGTGATGGCGAAGAGGAAAGACCTGAAGACAATGTTGTGGACGTGTCCCTTCCTCTTCAGTATGACACAGGAATTGTGTTGTCCCGGTGAGTTTGTATTGCATTTTCCAAATTGATGAAAGTGTAATTACAGGAATTAAGATGTCCATTTTTTATGTTATTTATTCTACAGGCAGTCAAATATAAATTTTTATGTGGCAAATGCGACCACTCAAGTGATAACAACAGTGAAGACTCTAGATGACATCGGCCCAGAATTTAACTTTACAGTCAAGGTGAAGTTATGGAACCCTTCTCCTCAAATGCTATAGTCTAATTAATTTAGTTTTAAATTCAAATTGTTGATTGGAACAAGTTGTGCTGAAAGGTTTCAACAGGACACTTCCCTGTCAGCCTCCTGTATTTGACCATTTCTCTGCCAATGACGACCAAAGGTGGAAATCAGCTCCTCTATCTCACCAATGTGGAGACACAAACAGTAAGCGCAGAGATTTCTTTTTAAACAATCTAATTTCAATAGTGTCAGGTACATTGTTGAATTTATTGCTATAAATTGTTAAATCTGTTTAGGTAAATAAAATAATCATATCCTACAATCCAAACTCTTCTTCTCACATAGTAGACATAGGATGCGCTTTTGGACTGAGCTGATGGGAGCAAGTTTGTCAAACATTTGTCAAACAACACCATGCTCAGCTGTACTGTTTTTTTTTGTCATTTTATTATTTAAAGTATGAAAGACACAGAGAGAATGAACAAGTTTTCCACTTGCAGGGAGGTTCTGTTAGCTGTGACTCTGCCCAGCTGGTTAACCCTCTGAAGATCGGTGAGAACAGTCCCGAGGTTTCCTTCTCCGAGGAGAACCTCAAAGGCATGGATAAACTGGTCAGTAAATGGCTCTTGATGTTTCTGCTAACGCGATTTCTTAACACAATACACTTTAATTCTAACCCAGAAAATTTCACTTGAGTTTCCTGAACAGTTACTAGTATAAAGATCAATGCTGTAACCAGTGAAATTGCGTTTCACTCAAAAATTGGAAGAGATGTAAATGAGGTCATATCTCTAACACTTCCAACTTTCCAAGTGTAATTTTATTTTCCCCTATCGGTGGTTTTACTGCAGTCAGAGCTCGATGCCATGGTGATGGAGGTTTTGGTACTAATCATAGTCATATTTTTGACATGTTTTCATTAATTTATTGACAGGACTGCAAGAGTGCAAAGTGTGAATCTATAAAGTGCCTCCTGAAAGACACAGAGGTTAAAAGCGACTACTTTGTGAAGGTTAAAACGAGGATCTGGAGGGGCACCTTCAATACGGTAAATCCATCCAGTTATGGAATCTGCTGTACAGCTGATTTAGTATTATGAGCATTAATTGTCTTATCTAACTGACCGGAGATATAATCTGTGTTCTTTTGCCTTCTTAGGCAACATATCAGACCCTTGAGCTGACGTCCAGTCTGGATGTGGAAACCTCAGACCCAGAGCTGCTCATCATTGGACACAAACAGATTCCTGTAAGATCTCATTTGTATATTGGAATTTGAATTTCAGTGTGGTTCCTTTTGAAGAAGATTCTGTCAGTGTTTGGAAACATGCAATTCTTGAATATGCAATTTTACTTGATGGAATGGGATATTTGTCTTTGATTTGAGTGAGGTAGATCTCATACCTAATGTGATTGTTTTTTATGTTCAGGTGGTGGTGACAGTTAGCAAACCTGGAGAGAAGGGGGATGTTCCTGTGGGCGTGATAGCCGGCAGCGTCATAGCAGGACTGCTGCTGTTGGCTCTGGCTGTGGGACTGTTGTGGAAGGTAAAGCTTGTGTGCAAACCTTTGGAGAAAAAAACACCGGTAAACAATTGATATGACATATAGTCATTTCCGGTGGGTTTAAGTTAGCATTAGAGTGTCACCTCTTCCACCACCTCCACTTAAGATTTAGAATGAGACCTGCATGACCAATTCCATTTCCTGAAAAGTTGGGAAATAATCTAAAATGCACATGCTTCCATTCATTTTCAACACTGCCTGTTCCCAACGGGGTGGCAGGTGGGCTGGGGCCTATCCCAGCTGACAACAGGTTAATAAAAAAGAAGACTAAAGCATATATGTCGGAGCTAATATACATCAAAACTGTTGGTTGTGGTTGGTGTTGTGGACTATCCCTATCAAACAAATTGTTAACTGATATCACATTCTTTTTGCTTTTCTAGTTTGGGTTTTTCAAAAGAAAATACCAGCAGCTCGGGAAGGAGGCTGATGAAGACATGCAGAGCCGCGCTCATGTTGATGAAGTGCTGTGAAACCCACAGCATTCATTCTCCAATGTACATTTCCAGAACGCATATTAGCAAATATGACTCTAGCTCAATCACTGGAAATTGGGCACTTTAATGGAACGGACGCTGAGCAGTTGATAACTGGGACTAAATCCTCTAATCAGAGGATTATTGACATTGTGTTTTTCTTGGTGGATTGTACTGTATTTGCTCCTGTGCACTTATTTTTTAAAAACCCTAACAACATTTTTTGTTTGCTTGTATTAAAAAAAATTAAGGCAACCACAAACATGAAAATTAGATATTAGGAGGTAGATGAGCTAATGAGTTAGATGCACCCTGATTTTTACGGTTAGAACATATAAATTATGAATTGTCATCTGATGTGAGCAATTCTGGAAGAGAGGAGTGACAGTATTTTGAATCTGGATATGATATAATCATTGGTAAAAACTCTTATTTGCTTACACTTCAATCTTTCGTAGCATACAGATTATAAGCAGTCTCTTTGTAGCAAAACTTCTTTTGGGATCCGCTTCACCTCAAACTCTCAGGGCTACTTCTGGATTAATGTTAGTAACTAATGCTTATACATAATATTGACAGGTTATATGCAAATAAGAGACAATACCAGTCATCCTTCAGAGGGCTTAATATGTGATTTTACTGTGTATATACTTTATATTTTTGTATGATCAAGCTCATATGTTTTGTACTGTTTTTGTATCATACAGAGTTGGAACTTGTCTTACTGTTATTGATCACATTTCTGGTACGAATGTTTAAAGTTTCGCTATTTCTAGCACAACTTCTCAGTAAGATGATACTGTCAGACCAATATTTACATGAATTAATAATCTGCTGATCACTGTTAATTATCTTATTTTTGCCTGTTCTATATCAGAAAATCCTTTTTTTTAAGTCCAAGCTATTCAGACGCTATTGGATCAGAGAACTGCTGATCAACAAAACTAATTCAAAATACAGTTTGTTTTTTTCTCCATGTATGTTAATTCAAAAAGCTTAAAAAAGGGCAACTGTATATTTTTCTCCCAGTTTCTCTAATTCATGTTTATAGGATTACCATGACTTGGATGACTGAGTCACCGGCATTTTCCATGCATGTCGTTCATTGCACAACACAAAGTTTGTACTTTTAAATTTATAAGAAATGTGTTTGCAGTTTTCTCTTCAAACATAAATTGTGCATACGTTTCATTTGGTACCAGAATTATGGTTCTGTTAAGAAAACCCAGATCATTTTTCTGGATTGAGGCATGTAATAGCACAACAATTCCATCAGATGGCAGCATAGGACTGCTGAGTTGTTTTTTTATCTCAAAGTTCAGCTGGTGATTGTGATCATATCTTCTCTGACCATCATCATTTTTATTAAGATTGTATCTTTCCTGTCTTATCTTGTCATATGGTGTCTCCCTATTTCCCTCTTTCTCACTCAGACACCGTTAGAAGTCCTAACCCTTCCAGGAACACACTTTATTTTTATTTCAATGCAGCTGAGGTTTTCTATCAAACTCATTTAATTTTCTCTCACATTTTTAACTGTAGAGCTCTCCCACTGTTAGATTATTCTGTCCCTCGACTGTTTTGGAATTTGTTTCTGACTGTTTCCCTTCTCAGTGAGCCAACACCAGCACCCAGCAGTCTTTAATATTCACTTCTCTGGATCTGGCGAGATGGAAAATGCTATTTGTCTCTAATAAGTAGCATATTTTCTGGGAGCTCGGGTTCAGGTTTTCCTTTTATATAGGATTTGATAAATGGCTGAACTACTCTCTTTCACTATTACTCATATGCTGCGGTGTTGTGAAACAGCCTTTGGATTCTATGTATAGGTGTACAGGGAGCAATGTGGACATAGTGGATGAAATGAGATACTGCAAACGATTTTGTGCACGTTTGTAAGATAGTCCCACTGGGATTTGCTTCAGATGATTGGCAGTTACAGCCAAACAACTGACCCCCACGCCCCGGTGGGATGATTACTCACAAATTGCTGCAACCTGCATGTAAATCAAAAATGATGTCATAGCAGATTATTTAACGGGTGACCTTTGTTTGCACTTTATGAAACGCTGCCTAGATCTTTGCCGCTTTTTCTAAGGTTTTTAAAAAGTCATTTTGAGAGGATTTTCTCAACAAATTACTGTTGAACCAGTAGATATGATAAAAGTAGATTATGGATAGGGGAATTTTAGGAGATAGACCAAAAAGTACTTCAGTCAGTTCAAAGTTTGGCTCTTTCATGCCAAAACTCCTCAAATGGCATCAGGAGTGTGCTCTGAGTTGTTGTTTTTAAAAAATCACACCTGCATTTGACTTTGGATCGAAAAGCATTTCAGTCAACGTGAATAATTCGCCCATGGGTCCGTTTAAACCCAATTCCACTCAGATCCGCGACATGGAGCCCTGGTTGTCCCGTTGCCTATACGCCATTCATGGCAGCAGGACAACTGCCAGCACTTTAAAGTTGATACAGGGCAGAAATATACTTGCATGTCAGGAAGTGTTTTGAAGCTCCACACCTTCAAAGACACTGATCTCATAGATCACTCAGACAGGACACTGACTGATTTTCAGAAGAGAACTAGACGGCCAGTGCGAGGACATCACATCAAGTGTTGGGGGGGACATAAGGATAAAACAAAAAAAAATCGCTTTTGGATGTGTCCCCAGCATTTGCTACTTATTCGGACCTTTTTTGGAGTCGTACAAAACCCCATGCAAGACAGGTGTTTTCCAGCAAAAGTGAAAGGATGATAAATGGAGGTTATGAGTCTGGTTCAAGCAGCGATGACCAATCATGACTGAGCCTTTTTTTTTTATTTGAACAAAGTTCATGTGTTTCTTTTCTATTTATTATGTATCTGTTGTTACTGTGGCAATAAATCTATCTTAAATTGTTCCCGTTTATTAGTTAACATGTTTATTTTGTTTTGTTCTCCTTACTGGAAGCTATCCTCTACTGTATAAAATCATAACAGTTGTCATGAAAGAGTAGACATACACAAGTGAAGCATTAAACAACAGGGCTATAAAACTGCCTCTGAGGCAAATTGCATTATTTATCACAGCAGCTTAAATTGGCCTTCAATACACAAAGATCTTTCATCAAATGTTTACTCCTTCAGCTGAACTCTTCAGTCTTTGTCCAAGTATGGGAAATTGCATAATCCTCAAATAATGTTCTGATTACACTGATAAGAAACTATTAGTCATCTCGAGAAGCCTGTTCTTCAGCTTTGGTAATAGTTTATTTTGACTGATTGCAATTAGGAAACTCAATTTAGGAATAAAGGGGGAAAAAAGACAAAAACCACTGATACATGCTGTAGATAACAGTGGAAATATTTTGTTTGGCAACATGTTTTTGTTGCTGGTGTCATTTTATTTAGATTACATCTCAATCCATCCTGAATATGCTGATTCAAATCATATTTCATAGACTCAAACCCGGGACCACGTGGAGGGAAACGCATAATGAGGCCTGCAACAACACAAATTCTGCATCTGCAGTAAGAATCCTACAATATGAAAACCCCAGTTTCTTCATCTTAGCGAATGGAAGGTTGTCTTTGATGATGCCTGACAGATAAATGTATTGGAACTGTAACTTCAGGTGTCTGAGGTGGCCTTTTTACGTGTCCTCATAAAAACCCTGATTCTTCCGTTTTGTTAAATGATCTTTTATTGATTGTCACCGGTTCAGTCGAAATGAGAATAAATCATTGGCTGTGGCAGCATGCTGTATTAGAATCATGCGCATTGACAGCTTTACGTTGTGTAAAGTTTAGGGCGCGTCTGTGGTTATAATTAGCTAATAAATGACAGCAAAGTGTCTTTTCACTGCCTGGTCCGGCGGATGATGAACTCCCCGGAGTCGGATTCGCCCAGCAGACGCTTTTCTCCGCCGAGCTGTAACCAGAATTCCGCTGAAGAGGTCGCGCAAGGACTTCTGAAGGAGTTCAGTGTGTGTGTGTGTCTGTGTGTCTGTCTGTGTGTGTGTGTCTGTGTGTGTCGTGTGTGTGAGTGTCGTGTGCGTTTCATTCAATGAAACGCAACACCCCTCTCCTCCGTCTGAAGCCTCTTCGGAAACAGGTTTGATTATATTTAAAAGCTTGACCCGAGAGAGAAACCCAAACAACTGTCTGTTCTAATATTAGCAGCGCGGCTGCCGACTACTATGAATTCTATTACTGTCTGGGCTCGGATGTGTTCCTCAAGGCAACTCTCATCAAAAGATTTACACTTTTGTCTGCAGCTGGTGGAAAATATATCAGTTACCAACCAGTAATTTGAAGGAATGATAGAACATGTGGATAGGTCTGCTGGCAGTCGGCCCGTTTTTATCATGAATTGGTAAAGGCCCTGATATTGATGATAGTATTATTATCATTATTATAACGACAACACCAATTACTTCCTATATTGATTTGTTAAACCAAAAATCTCCCACACTCTTAGTTTTGAGGAAAGAACGAAAAGGCTTAAAAATGGAGACTGATAACAGCATTCCTTCATTATCAATATAATTCATAACCACTGATACATCTCGCCTGGTTTGCCGCATTTATCTCGTTTTGCAGCAAAACCGTCTGCTCCCCACGTTGCCTGACAAATAATTTGGTGCTCTTTAGTAACCGTGGTAAGAGAAAGTTGCTCGGAACGATGTCACCTGATTGGGATTGAAAGAACTTTGGTAAGAAAAAAAAAAATTCTCCCCACCCCCACAGATGAGGAGACCGCCCACCAGAGACAGTCAACCCGAGACCCCTTATAGATTTAAAAAGAGAGGCTGCATTCTCAGGCTGACACTTATTCAACACTGCCACCTTAAGCAGATTAGTTTTGCGCTGCCTGTGTCAAATACGAGCTTCACTTTGCCTCTCCATCACCATGTTTGGGATGCTCAAACAACACGTTCAGCCGGGCGTTTTTCTCTTGCTCATATGGCTCTGTCACCTCATGGAACATCAAAAAGTCCAAGGTAAGCTTTCCACCTCCGTTTTGTTGCATTGTTTCCGTTTAAACGAAAAGACAAAACTTCGACCGCTGTCAGCCACAAAACGCGCCATGGTCCGCTCCTCGGTGCCACCGGGAAACTTTTCAAACTGAGTTCCTTTTTTCTCCCTCGGTGACACATGTCTCCGTGCGTGAGACAGTCCCGTGTTTTGGGCATATGTAAAACAGGTGCCTTGTGGGACACTTTAAAGTGAGAAATGGCAAGTTTTACAGCCCTCTCCAGACTGACGTGTTAAAACCCGCCGCGCCGCCTCGGTGCCAACGAGCTCTCCAGAATACCTGGGCACATTTTTGTGACTTTAAAACGAACGTTTTAGTGTTTTGTGACATAGTCGTCTATCTCACAAAGTTCAGTGTCGCCACTGTGAGTTTTGGGGTGTGTTTGTCATTTACTTTTCGGGTGCACTCTTCCAGAATTATGCGCCAATTTTTCTTTACGCAGTTTTGCATATTTAGGTGTGAACATAGAAAAAAATGTGTCTGGTATTGTGTTGTTTTTGTGAGCTTAAATCTAGAAAATAATCAAACAGAAGCCTGTCTCCTGGATAAAAAAACACAATAATTCAGGAATAGTAAATGCTGTCAGGACCAAATACATAACGTGGTGGCACGGTGTATGTCTTTTTTTTTTCTTTTTCTTCTGGACTTTTAAAATGTGTTTCAGACAAATGTGTTGTCTGAAACAGTATAGTCTGGGAGGAGCATGTTGCACGTCTGGCATATTGCACTGAGGTGTGGGAGACGATGGTGTGCTCAGTAATGCCATATCCCACCTATAGACCACGGTTTTCTCAAGGAGAGAGCTTCCCTGTCTAGACACTCCAGTTTCTGTCCAGCTGTAACAAGGAGGGAAGTCTGGGAATAAAAGAAAGCCCCCCCCCCCC